TCTACATTACTTTTTGTTTGTTTGTTTGTTGAGACAGGGTCTCATTATGCAGCCCAGGCCGGCCTCAAACTTTCTATACTCCCACCTAAGCCTCCTGAGTGCTGGATTACAGGTGTGTGCCTGCCTGCCTGGATTTCTCTTTTGTTTGTTTGTTTTTTTAACTTACTTTAGCCTCACAATGCTCCTACAAGGGAATCATTCCCATGATACAAGGGAATAAATCATACCTTACTTTATTCCCATTTTACAAGTGAGAAAACTAAGGCCAGCGGCTGCCCAAGGTCATACAGGTGGTAAAGAGGGTTAGGATGCAAACCCAGGGTTGTTCAAACATTTTGATCCACAGCTGGTTGAATCCATGGATGTGGAACCTGCAGATGTGAGGGCTGACTGTACTATGTTGCAAGAAAAGGAATGAAGCCAGGCACCAGTAGCTGACACCTGTCATCCTAGCTACTCAGGAGACAGAGTTCAGGAGGATCAAGATTTGAGGCCTGCCCAGGCGAATAGTTCTCTCAAGACCCTATCTAAAAAAAATAATAATAACAACCTTTACACAAAAGGGCTGGCAGAATGGCTTAAGGTGTAGGCCCTGAGTTCAAACCACAGTAACGAAAAAAAAAAAAAAGAATGAAAAGAAAAGAAATGACATATATGAGCAACAACTTGGATGATTCTGAAGGTCACCAAGCTGAGTGGAAAAAGCCAGTCTCCAAGGTCACACACTGAAAGACCTTGAGGTGGAGGAGGGATTGCTGGAGGCCAGGGTAGGACAGGGGAAGGGGAGCAGGCACTGTACAAAGGACTAGCACCAGAGATCTCTGTGGCAATGGACTAATTCTTCACCTTGATTGCAGAGTGGCTGTAAATATGGACAGATGTGATAAAATAGCCTGGAACTGTACCCACAAGTCACACCCATGTCAGATTCCTGGCTTTGATATGGTACTATAATTATGTAAGAAGTAACCATGAAGGGGAACAAGCTGACGGGCACACCAGATCTCTCTGTTCTATCTTTGCAACTTCCTGTGTCTATAATTATTTCAGAATAGAAAGTTTTAAAATAAAAGCAACATTAATTTCAGTGGGGGACTATAAGCCCTGATTCCGGCTCCCAAAAGTCTCAGGCCGTGAGACCCTGTGGGATTTGAATCCCTGCTCATTGCCTGAAGGTGCCACAGTGCCAGGCATTGCTCAGAGTTCTGAGTGACAGGCTCGTGGATGTGTCTTGAACTGTAGTTTTGATACCTTTGCTCTTCCTTGCATCTTTCCTTCTAATGAGATAGGTGGTGGGGACCACTTTGGGTGCCTTGACTGTCACCTCCTCACCAGGTTAGCAGTGGAGCCAGACAACTAAGAGAACTCTGGGCTGCCACTGACGTGTCCCTGTCCAGCCTGTGCTGCCTTGGACAGGCACGTGATAAAATTCCATTTGTCAACTGTGACATTCCTGTTTCCCTCTAGGGATAACAATGACTATGGTGTCATCAATTTTTCGGGAGTATTGCGAGTTCACGCTGCATGATCACAGCGTGGGAAGCGCAAGGCGCAGTGGTTGTCATGGATCCTGTGCTCTGTAATAGCTATCATTATTATAGACATTGTCACTTGCTCTGCCGACGCCTCAGACATGATTCCCACAATCCTGGCTACTCAACCCTAGCCTGCTTTGACAATTATTTCCCAGGGAGACAGTCTAGGCAGACAAAGTTTTGGAATGGGAGAGTTTTGGAGAGATTTTGACTTGGCTGCAGTGCTGCCTGTGAGGCAAGAGTCACCTCCTATGTCCCTAGAGCTGAGAGAAGAGGGCAGGGGAAGCAGGAGCTGAGGTTACTCCAGGCTGTGCCGAGTCTCTCTGCCCTGTGCGTTTGGAGTGGGTAGTGGTGGCCTGGAGCGCTTTCATCAGTGAGAATAATGGAGCCGCCTGCCCCAGGCACGGTCCTAGAAACAGTGTGGGCCAGGGATGGACGGGTCATCTCAGCCAGGAGCAACTCAGGAGGTTGACAGGACGTGAGGGACAAAGAGGCCCATGTCATAACCGTAGCCTGGTGCCTGGGTGTGCTCCCTCTTGCATGTGGCAGGGAGCCTGCTCTTCCCAGCATCCAAGATCTGCTCACTCCTATTCCAGACTGGCCAGACTTCATCTCCGCTGTCTGTCCCTAGCTCTCTGATTGTGTGGCCAGGGGTCGCTGTGTTCTAGGTTCTGACTCACTCAGCTTGCTTGGTATTTTTCAAGGGAGGAGTGCTATTGGCCTTTGCTGTCCCTGGAGACTCCTTCCTAGGCCTGGACCCTGCCAGAGGGGATGGCTGTCATGTCCCCGACTGTCCTTTCTGCTTTCTTTACCATGTAAGAGAGCAGGAGGAGTTGCATTAGGTCCTTTTTCTCCCCTCCAGCATTCCCCTGACCCCGCTCCCTCTTTCTGTCCTGTGGACAGTGGCCATGTCCTTCAAGCCCTCTCCCCACTTCTGGGGATCGCCTTTGCTCACAGCTGCCAGCAGTCTGCAAGACCTTAGTTCAAGTGTCACCTCCAGCAGTACTCCTAGTCAACCACTCTGGCTGCATCCCTGCATCCAGGAATGCTGCTTTTCCTTCAGTTCTAACTGTTGGTCTTTGGTCTTGAATTTGGCTTTGCTGGGGCCTACCTTCCCAGAAGCCCACAGAGCTCCATCCCTCCCCTCTTCTGGTCTTCACTCAGGAACCCCTTTCCCTAAAACTGCGGTCAGGCCTGGGCACACTCTGACTTCCATCGTTCTTGGGTAACACGGTAGCACGCTTGTGACCTGAAGTCCAGCAATGTGTTCCCTGTTCATCTCATCACATTTGCTGTTGCCCACAACGTCAAGTCCAGGAGATCAGAGAGTGGTTCTTTTGGGGTTTGGCACTCAGAGGTGCTCACTAAGCACATGTGGAATTCTGGTTGGTTCCAGGAGAAGGATGGAGAAGGACCAGGAGCACAAGATGACTTCAGGTCCTAGCTGAGTGTCCTCACAGAGTGGGTCTCTCCTAAGGGATGTCCTCTGCTTCAGACTACATCACTGTTTCCCAAAATTTAGAGGTTCTCTCATACCTTCATGACTGTAATCCTGTCTGGGACCTGAAATATTTTCATTTCATACAGTTCTTTCTTTTTTCTTTTTGGCAGCACTGGGGTTTGAACTCAGGGCCTCACACTTGCTAGGTAGGTGCTCTACCATTTGATTCACTGCATCAGCCCTTTTTTGTGGTGGGTATTTTTGAGATACGATCTCGTGGAAATATTTCACCGGGCTGGCTTTGAACCTCAATCTTCCTGATCTCTGCCTCCTGAGTAGCTAGGATTACAGACATAAGCCACCAGTGCCCAGCTCAGTTCATTAAGTCAACTCATTTGATTTTTTTTCTTTTAATTTTTTTTCCCCTTTGATTCTTCCTAAGTGTTTACTTATAAAACTCGCCAGTATAGTATGCTGGTTTCCTTTTGTTCCGATACACACTAAATGAAGCATAAATAGTAGTGTAAAAGTCACGGACACCACTTCCATCTGGATTGTCTCTGTCATCAGGCTGGTGCTCAGGCAGCTGGAGGTCGTTCCCCATCTCTGGTTATTGACATTGCCCTGCTCCTCAGGGCGAAGTCCTCAGTGGCTTTCCTACCAAGCCAGACCTGCTGGAGCCAGGGTCTGCTGTTGGGGTGTGGCAGGGTAGGGCTCATATGCATGCAGGAAACTGGATGGGACTTCCATCCTGTTCCATCCAGGCTGTTGAGAGACCTCTGCCTCATTTCACGTCTCTCTGGCCTTGCTTCAGCACCTGGAATTTTGCCAAACATCTTCCCACCTGGGGTGTTCACACAGGTGTGTCACACAGCACTCTATTCTCTGAAAGCCCCAGTTTCTCCTTGGGAGCAGGTGTGACAAGTTGCAGTTTGGTACTGTGTGTGACAGAGACTATTTCTTTCCTGTCCTTCCCCCTGCTTTGTGAGAAAAGGACCAGCACCCCTGGGCCCTGCAAGTTGCTTGGTGATGCCCCACCACAGTGGCAGGGTAGCACAGTGGTAAGATTGTGGCTTCAGCCAGGGTGCAAATCCAGGCTCCACAGGTTCTACATGGAGGACCTCAAGGAAGTGTCTTAACCTCTCCATGCCTGAGCCACTCCCAGTGGTCCTCAGCCCTCTGGAGGGCTGGTCAGAACACAGATCGCTGGGCCCCAACCTTGAGGGTTTGGTTCTCACAGTCTGGGTGGGGTCTGTGACTGCCTTTCTGATAAGTTCCCAGGGGATGCCTGGGTTGCTGGTTTGAAACTGGACTTAAGGAACCACTGTCATGGTTGATAGGAAAAGGAGGTAGAGGTTAATTAATGTAAATTCTGTAGAATTTTGCAGAGTAGAATTTTGTAAAATAAATGTTAGTCACTGATACCGTGTATAGCAGACAGTCTGACCCTTGAAGTTTCTGAAAGGTCCTGGCCTCACCATTCCTTAGCTCTGGGACGCTCGTGAAATCTCCTCACTTGTCTGAGCCCGGACATTCTTATCTTCACAGCTGTGTCCTGTGGGTCCCCTGAAGATAGCCTGAGCTTCCTAAAGGGGATCAGCATACTGTGGGTGTCCAGTGTTTGTGTTTGAAGTTGCAGAATATGAGGGTGGCAGTCCAATCCACACAGCTGGTGGGACACCTGAATCTGTGGGTCCCACCTGACCTGTGGAGCCAGAAGGTATTGTCAGGCAGTGAAGCCAGCCAGGCATGGACAACAGTGGGGGGGTGCAGCAAATGTGGAGCCTGTTCCCTCTGGGAGGCACGGCCTCCCTTCCTTTCAGTGAGTCCCAGCCTGGAGCTCCCCTCCAGCAAAGCAAAAACTGGGTTAGCTTGGGCTCAGGGCTAGAACCCCTGGTCCTGCCCCCACCCAAGGTCCAGCAGAGGTGGAGGGAAAACTCGAACTCGTTCTAGAAACAGTAGGATGGCAGCTCCGGGAGAACAGGTCAGAAATCATCAGGATCTGGACGGTGTTTGGCATTGTGCATTTATTTCAATATGTCCTTTGTACAGGTCCTGGGGCCAGGTGTGGGGGCAGGAGACCAGGCAGAGGGTAGCAATAAATAACACGGACAGACAGAGCTCCCCTCCAGACAGACGAGGTTAGAGGAGGAGAGAGGGGAGCCGTAGTGTGTGGGGGGGTGCTGGTAGGGAAAGGCAACTGGGAAGGAGGGGGAGGCCGGGCCCCCAAGACCTCACTGTCACCAGCCCCAGTCCCTTCCCGCCCCAGCCCCCACCACTCTCAGGAAAAAGGGAGCCCGCAGCCAGTGGGGGCCAGCGAGGGTCCTGAAGGGGTGGCCATGGGCCGCCCCGCCTCCTCACTTGACACGGATCTCAGCATACTCAGCCAGCTCCTCTGTCAGTGTGTAGCTGTCCTTGGTGGGTCGTTTTCCCAAGTCTGAGTGGGAATAGCTCAGGTCCAGTTCTGGGGGTTCCCCCCGAAGCCCCAGCAGTCTCCTCTCAGATCCCAGGCGCCTCTCGCTCTATGGTGGGAGGATTCATTAGTAGGATCCTCTCCATGCCTTTTCCCCACGAAAAGGCTGGAGTGATGGCACCCCCACCATCCCAAGTTCATACCCAGAGACTGTGGGTGAGCCTCCGCACAGTCAGCCATGTCCCATACTGAGACTTTTGCCAGTGCTGATGCTCTAACGCCCACCTCATTACTGAACTTGAATTTTTTTTTTTTTGGTGGCACTGGAGTTTGAACTCAGGGCCTTATACTTGTTATGCAGGTGCTCTACCACTTAAGCCATGCCCCAGACCTTTTTGCTTTGACTCATTCTTCAGCTTGGGGTCTCATGCTTTTGCTAGTCATAGACCTGGAACCTCCTACCTCTGCCTCCCACAGAGCTGGGAGTACAAGCGTGTGCCACCATGTCTGGCCCTGACCTTGAAAATTGCTATAAATTCTACACCTCTAGGAAGGCCTCTTCAACAGATAAACATTAGGGACACACAATGCAACTAGAACACCTTTCCAGATTCAATCTACTTCCAAAAGCTTATGAGTGCCTGGTTCAGTAAGTCCTTTCCTGTCCGGATTTGGTGGGGTCTCCCTCCCCGATCTAGGGAGTCCTGGAAGTAAGACTAAGGCTTCCCTATCATGCTTTGTGCACCCAACCTCCACTCCATCAGCATTTGGACACACACACAGGACAGTGGCCACAAACAGACGGGAACAGCAAAGGGACAAAATAGACAAGGCTGGAGCCGCTGGGTGGGACCAGACTTAACCAGAAAGCATCTTGGACATCTGACGAGGACGACATGCATGCCAACCCCAAGGCCCAGTGAGGGCCCTGAGGCAGGTACACTGAGGCCCCAGAACCTACCTCCTGGGGCTCTCAGTGGCATTCCAGGGTAGAGACCTCTTTAGACTATCGGAGAAGGAAATAATAGTCACAGACATAGGCAGGGAGGGCAAAGGCTGCCTTGGGCCCTGCCCCCTGGAGCCCCCTCCATAGCCACAGCCTGGCATCTCCTCCCCAGCCTCTGGGGCCAACCCAGCCCTCCACTCTTCCTTCCTGTCCCCCTTGAGGGGCTGGCCTTCCCCTTGCCTCTTGGCTTCACAGACCCTGCCCAGGCCCTCCAAGCTTCCCGCTAACTTGGAGCCACAGGGCTCTGGCCCTCACCTCGTACTTCTCTGGTGCCCCAGAGATGCGGAAGTCAGTGCTGTACAGGACGTGGGGATTATCCCCGGCTGAGAAGCTGGGGCTCTCTGTCACGTTCTTTCTGCAGGGCAGGATATGTCAGCCCAGTGGGACCCCAGATCTCCCTCCCCTCCCTCCCCCTCCCCCACTTTCTGTACACCTGCTTACCTTGGATTTTGGTCCAAGGGACCCCAGATTGGCTCCCACCCCTCTCTCTCCCTCTTTGGGATGACTAGGCTCATCATGGGCCCACAGCCCATCCACCCCTCCTTTCCCTGGCCAATGGGTCACAAATCATTTGCCTAAAGTGTTCAGCTGGGCACCAACAGGGTCCCCTATCAATCTGCCCACCCATCCCCCTTGGAGACTCCTGTTCCCAGATCAGCCTGGTAGATACTCACTTTCTGCGTGTCTGGGTAATGTAACACACGATGGCAATTAAGATGGCAAAAGCGACTACAGCTCCCACAGGACCAATCTTGGCCCACATCAGTCGGTCTGAGGACAGAGAAGACCCAGGCCCCCTCAGGGCTGCTGATGGGAGTGAGGACACCTGGGTTCTCCAGAGACTGGCTGGGTGACAGTCAAAATAATCACACAGCTGGCACCTCCTTGCACTGACTGACTGGCACAGGCTTCCAGGGACCTCACAGGCTCCCTTTAGGACCTGGGAAGGGCTCCTGAGGAACAGGCAACTCAGAGCAGCCTCCGCTGTCCAGCTGCAAGGGATCTTCTACTACTTTATCCATCCTCACAGCAGACCCATGCTCAGGGGCTGATCACTAGCTCTGAGGGGGAGGGTCTGGATTCAAGAGGGGCCCCCTCCTTCCTGTGGCTCCCACCTCAAGGCCACACCACTCACGGGCTCCCTGGAAGGGCAGCTCCAGACTCTTGGTGCCGTAGAGGTTCCTGGAGGTGCAGATGACCCGAGGTGGGGCCTGGACCTGTCCCCGCAGTGTGAGGATACTGGTGAGCAAGAGGCCACTGCGCTCTGAGTACACGAACTCCCGCTCTGTCTCATTCACAGTCACGTTGCGTGAGGGCAGCTCGAAGGCCACGGATGGCTCCGGGTTGGATTTCACCACGCACAGGCACTGCACGGTGTCTCTGGCCGCAGCGCAATGAGACTCCAAGAGGATCATGGGAGCAACTGCATGATCAAGACCAAGATGGAGGGTGGGCTGCAGCCAGGGCCTCAGGAGACTCCTTGGCAGAGATCAAGGTCAGGGTGGCCAAGGACGGGGGTGATAGCTTTGTGTGGGATCCCCCTTACTTTTTTCTCTGTCTTGACTCAAAACTACAGAGCGCCTCGACTACTCTGTGACCTTACCAGTTACACGTTTTCTCTGCAGGACTGGACCCAAGCCAGGCCTTGAACGATCCCAGCACTGATAAAGATGTTTAGGACACTGTCCCAGACTGAAAAACACCAGCCCTGGCCCCAAGCCACATTCCTTAAATCCCTGTAATAAACACTATATCCCAAGCCCTGGTGGCAGACATGACCAAGGATGTCCCTTGGGACTTGGGACATCCTTCTTGCTATCCATGTTGGGGACACTGCAGCCTCCTGCAGTGCTTTGGACTGAGCACCCTGACCTTCAGGGCTTCTCTCTTTGGAATCCCAGTGAGTCCCAGTTCAGGAGGGTTTGGGGTGTTCCCTTGTGGAAAGTCTTCTGCTGCTGCTTTTAGGGTGACTCCAGCCTCAATATGGCCAGAACAGGACACAATGTCACAGAGACAGGTTGCATTTCCCCTCACCATCTCTAACTTTGACCTTGGCCTCTGGTCATCTCTGTAAGGCTTGGGGGACATTTCCCAAAAGGGCCTCCTGTGCTCTGAGCATTTTACCTGCCAAGGAATGTGCTCCCGGTGCTGCCTCCTTTCTGCCTCCAGCCCCTGCTCTTCCCTCAGTCTGTCCTGCAGACACCCCTTCCCGGCTCCTCCCTGCCAAACTCCTTGAGTGCTCCCCCAGGACTCCTCATTCCCACCAGCACCAAACACTGCCCTCCACCCAAGGTCATTGTGTTGAGCCTTGCTTTGCTGCTGTTTGATGACGAATATAGTTCTGAGTTGTTTTTTTCTTTCCATGTTCAAAACATGAAGATCTATTAGAGAAACTGAATGGTGCTTTGTAAATTATGCTCTTTATCCATCTTGGAGAGTCGAGCACCCTCCTCTGCTTGCCCTGGACTGCACACAGATCCTTAGTTCTGCCCCACATCCACCTAAACACAGGCAAAAGACTCTGGAGCACTACCCCACCTGTTTTCAATTTCTAGCCAGTAACAGTGCTGGGCCAGGAATTAGCACAGACCCAGGGATGGCTCCAAGTGAGGACTTGTTGCATAACATCTCTACAGTCTACTAAATTAAAAATGATAAGTCCGACATGCTATTTTGGTAAACATGCATTCTGCTTGCTGTGGTGTTGACCGATCAACACACCCCAGAGTAAATTAAGAACAATCCATCTGAACTTTTCCAAAATTCACGACAGTACAGTTGGCACTTTGGTACAAGTGGTCCCCCTAGAAGACAGTGATGGTGACACCCTGCCTGTGTGTGTGTTCAGAATCTGTGGCTCTGCAGGCAGCCTGGGAGAACACGAAACCTTGAATGGCAGTAGATAAACTCGGGGTGGCATAGCTTTGGCCTGAGCCCCAACTCTGCCATCTACTGGCAGAACTGTCAGCTTCCTGGGGCTCCAAGATGGAGCCCTCACCTGTACAAACAGTGATGGTGGTCCTTAACTCATAAGGGTTTATAGGACTCTAAAGACAGGTGCAGGAGCAAGTCGTAAACCTTAGCATCCCATCTGAGTGCTTCCGGTTAGGAAGATACGACATCCTAGCAGAGGGAGCACATGAATTCAAGGCTGCAGGATCTCATGACAAATGTCCAAGCTGGAGTCCTGGGGACAAAAGGCTGGTATCTGACATTTACGGAGTGTGTGGGCACTGGGCACCCCACCATGCAACCATCTTGGTGGCAAGGAGAGAACTGAAGGCGAGGCAGAGGGGTGCTCACTAGCCAGCCTCATGCAGCAAGAGGGAGGCAGAGTGGGGCCCTGACCCAGGTCAGCTCAGCTCCACCAGGCACAGGACTCAAATGAAATCATGGTTTCTTTCCATTAAGCTGGGCTCGGGAACAGTCTCCTCTGCCCAGTCACGTGGTTGTGAGACCAAAACAGGTCAACACAAGGACCGTACTCCATCCCCTGTGGTCCCCTGTGGTCATAAGCACTCAGAGACTTCTGTAGTCCCATGCTGTGCTGGGCCTGTTAACAGCAGGACACAGGACCCTGATCAAAGGTCACCCACGATTGCCAATGAACACAAAAGCCCTGATGGTTGGTGATAAGGATGGTGTGGATAGTGGGGATCTGAGGCATGCTGGCACATGCTTGTAATCCCAGCTATTTGAGAGGCACGGTAGGAGGATCATGGTCTGAGGCCCACTTGGGCAAAAGCATGAGACCTTGTCTGAAAAAACAAACTAAAAGCAAAATAACTTAGCCCTTGGCTAGGAACTGTGATACTGAGTTCAATCCCCAGTATCACAATAAAAGAGAGAGAGAGACAGAGAAAGAAAAAGAGAGAGCTTCAGCAGGTAGAGTAGGGGACAGGCCCACTGCTGCCCTCAACTTGGCATACTGAAGACCTCATGCTGCAAATGTGTTTGTTTTCAAGAGAAGAGGGAGTAAGGACTGGGTGACAAGGACTTCAAGGGAGGCAAAGCAGCCCAAAGTTTTAAGAGCTGGGGCCCACAGGAATCTGGAAGGATCCGAGCTCTGACTGACCTTCCCAGCTGAAGGTCAGCTGAATCCTGATCTTTCACCTTCTCCTAGGTCAAGGGAGATAATGCCATGCCTGATTCAGGGAGGGGAAAGGACCACAGAACTTAGCAAGGTAAGGCCTGCAGAGGACTCTGCTGTCCCAGGGCAGGCCTGAACTGAGTGTCTGCTGCCCCTGCTCCAAGTAGGAAAGGTCTGTGACTCGCCTGGAAAAGTGAATGGGTGGTGTGTATATATGCAGGACCTTCCATCAGATTCTCAGGAGTTCTATGACTCTTAAACTTGAGAACACCTGGGTTGGAGGGATACAGAGGAAAGGGGGACTCTGGGCCCAGGATGGCATGTACAGAGAAGGCAGAGCATTGTAAAGCCATCTGGCATGATCACACAGAAGCTTCCAGACAGCAGACCAGGAGCAAAGGTGCCCAAAATGGTAGGGCAGAGGAGGAGTGGGTGGCCATGCCTAAGGCATGCAAGACAGCACTCAGAGACAGTCTGTGTGGCCCGAGTGTCGGTCACTGCCACCTACCGAGTACCGCACAGGGACAGTACAAGGACCCTATATAAAATGCTTTCTATGCTGACTCACTGAACCTCTGGAAACTGGTGTGGTGAGGCCCTTGAGATGGAGCAATTGAGGCCTAAGAAGTGAAATTTAGAGTCAGTGCCAGAGGTCAGGTGAAGCTGCGACAGGAGCAAGGACATAGGATCAAGGAGGTGACTGATGTTCCAAGGAGCCTCTTGGTCCTATCCCCCCTTCCACAGAGCCCTTTGTACATAACAATGGCTCAGTCAATGCATTCTGAAAGAACAGCACAGGATGAGGTCAATTCTGGGCAGGACAAGACCCAGATCTTGCCTGGATTTCAATCTCAAATATGTTTCCTAGCTGTGTGACTTTGAACAAGTGACATTGCTTCTCTAAGACTCAGTTTCCTTCTCTGTAACCTAGGCACAGTAATAGAACTTCCCTCATGAAGATGTCATGATGACGAAATGAATGGGACCAGTGCTTCTGACAGTGTGTGGTACGGAGTTTTGCTCCACAAGGGATAGAGATCAGAGTTTGCTTTTGTTTTAGTTTTCTTCTGGTGGTACTGGGGTTTGAACTCATAGACTTGTGCTTGCTATGCAAGTGCTGCCTCACTTCAGCCACCCCCTAACCCTTTTTTGCTTCAGCTATTTTTCGAATAGCATCTCACACTTTTTGCCCAGGACTAGCCTCAGACTGAGGCCCTCCTACCTATGCCTTCCACATAGCTGGGATCGCAGGTGTGTGCCACCATGCTTGGTTAATTCATTGAGATGGGATCTTGCTAACATTTTTCCCCAGGGTGCTCCTCCTGATCTCCACCTTGAGTAGCTAGAATTACATGCATGCACCACCATGCTCAACCTAGAGTTACAATATTAGCTCATGGAGAAGGGCAGTAGTCACAAGATCCTGAAATGCCCTTGGTTAAGTCCACCACAGGATGTAGGGCATAGTATTCTCAGAATTTTCAGTCCTTGTGGATTCTGCCTCCCTGCCATCCCCACCCTTGTCTACTGGTGAGAACAGGCAATGTCAACTCTGGCTGGGGTGCATGGGCACCTCCTGGTCACCCAGTGTCCCCTCGGGTTCATCTGCCACCAGCCTGAGGGAGCAGGGAGAACTCACACTCCACGGACAGGTTGAAGGCGGTGGCCCTCTGACCGTACTGGTTCTCAGCCACACACCAGTACTCCCCATCGTCCTCAGGCGTGACTGCTGGCAGCTCCAGCTGAAGCTGGCTCTCGTAGATGACTGTGGCTAGGATCTGCTTCTCCTTGAAGATGGTGAGAATAGGGTCTGGGTTGCTCTGTGTGGAGCACAGGATGGAGACTGTCTCCCCCTCCACGGCCACCACTGTCCCATTCACCGTCGGCTTCCAGGGTGCATCTGGAGGGCAAGACGGGACTGATGGTCAGACACCAGGCAGAGCAGCTAGCTCTGCCAAATGTGGCCCCTGATACCCCAAAAGTAGCACACCCATTAAGGATAGCCCAGGGATCCCTAGTCCTGTCTATCTTATTGATGCCAATATCAATTCTGCAGCCAGGGAGCTTGTCTTTGGATCCTGGCCCTTCCTACCCCTTTCTAGCTGTTTGTAGACCCACATTTTAACTCCTGGGACTCATTTTCCCATCTGGAAAATGGGCTTCATAAAATTCCAACATCATGGATGGTTATCCAGCATTCACTGAGAAACTCCGAGTGACAGGCACTGTTCCGGCTTAAACGAGGCCCATGTGGGGAGGTGCTACAGAAGTAAATGAAATATATTTGCAACACAGGGTAAGCGCTGTGCAGAAAACAAAGGGTGAGGAGGGAACTGGGGTAGTCACAGTTTTAAATAGGGCAGGGAGGGAAGGCTTCAAGGAAACTAGGAGGAGGTGTGCAGTGGATGTCTGGCAGAGAGCTTGCTGAGGAAGCACTCAGGAGGGCGACCATGTTGACCATGGCTGTCATTATAGTCCCCACCCCTTGGCACTTTGCCTCAATACATATTTGTGAGTGAATGAATGGCCTCTCCCTGGTGCCTAGCTAAGTCCTGCTCTGACAGCAGCCCACTCCAATATCCCTGTGCACACCATGGGGCTGGATGAGGCCTGGGTCCCTCAACCCTTCCTTTAGAACTACAACTGCACAAGGGCCAGGACCAGTATAGTCGTCCATGTCTGTAATTCCAGCTACATGGGAGGTGGAGATAGGAGGATCGCTGCTTGAGGCCAGTCAGGACAAAAGCATGAGAACCTATCTGAAAAAACAAACAAACAAACAAACAAACAAAAAACCTAAACCAAAAAAGGGCTATGTGTGTGGCCCAAGTGGTAGAGTGCCTGCCTAACAAGCACAAGATCCTAAGTTCAAACCCAAGTACCACTAAAAAAAAAGAACCTCAGCCGCACTTGTTTTAAGATGCAGATTACTTATAGAAGTGCTGTATATATAAATGGTAACATAGAGGGGGTGAATTTGATCAAAGTACTTTATATGTATATTTTAAAAATCACAATGAAATAAATCCCTTTGTACAATTAATGGATATGCTAACAAAACCTGTTTTAGAAGATGCAGATTTCTGGGCTGCGGGTATAAGCTCAGTGGTTGAGTGCTACTTTTTTAGCACCACAAAAATAAAAGCAGATTCCTTAGCAGGCCCAGTGCTACACTCAGACTAGCCCGCGTCTGGTGACCCCTGGGAAAGTGCATTTAACGGGTTTTCTTTCCTAGATGAGAGGGGCCAATTCTGCATCTTCCAGTCTTGGCCTCCCAAAGAGTGGGAGGCCAGAGCGCAGCACACCAGACGCTCGCAGGAGGATGGAGGCCTGTAACTTCTCCATTTTGGCCTCCCCGTGTTGTTGGTGGGTCCCAGGCGGCCCTCTGTCCCCTGTAGCGCTGTATGGGCGCGCAGGGCCGGGACTCACACATGACACTGAGCTCCACTGTGCGGTTGTCCTGGCCATAGGCGTTTTCCGCCAAACAGGCATAGATGCCGTCTTCCCCGGGAGTCACCTCCTCCAGCTCTAGATACAGGCTCTCGGCCACCGCCTCCCGGAGCACCGTCCCGTCCCGCATCCAGGTCAGCAGCGGCGGCGGGTTGCTGTCAGCCCCGCAGAGCAGGCTGACGTGGGAGCCCTCGATGGCCTCCACGGAGGAGTTCATCTCCACAATCACCGGGGGGTCTGAAGCCCGCGACACCGGGGCGGGTCAGGTGCAAAGGGTGGGTGAGGCAGACCCGGCCCCGCCCCTGCCACGCCCCTGCCACGCCCACGCCTGGCCAGCCTGGGCCAGCTTCCCGTCCCGACCACGCCCACGCCCCGCCCCGGCCCCGCCCCGGCCCGCACCCAGGCTCACACTTGACGTCCAGGCTGGCGTATCCCTCAAACTGCAGCGTGGTGTTGGGGAAGGCGGCCTGGCAGCCCAGTCGGTGGCCGTTGGCCTCCCGAGTGGGCACGAAGTGTAGCAGCGACACTTGCACCCAGGTGCCCTCGTCCTCGCGGAGCCGGCCTAGTACAGTGGGCTCTCCCAGCTCCTCGTGGCCCAGCCAGCTCAACTCTGGGCGCAGCTCTGGGCAGTTGTCTGGGACCATGCAGCTCACCTCCACCTCTTTGCCCGCCACCACCTCTGGGGGGACCACGATGTTAGGGGTGTCTGCGTGAGGTGAAGAAAAGGGGGATGGAGGAGGTAGTGTGGCACTAGGCATCACCCTTACCTGATGCAACACCATTCCGGGCACCTTGACCTCTTGGATACCGAATTTCCTACAGCACTCCCTCGTCTTGGTCACCCTCCACCCGGAAGCCCTCCACAAACCCAATGGGATGCAATAAGAGAGTCCAAGCAGCAATACAGCACCTCGTTTCACTCGCCTGGTCCTTCCTGCCATGCCAGAAGTGGTGCTATTCTGTAGCTCTCTTGGTAAAGGAGGAAACTGAGGCTACAGCTTGGGCAAGGCAAAACTGGGCTTCAAACCCTGTGCCTCTGGCTTCAGTGTCTGTGCTGTTGACACCAATTATATTTTCTAAGAAACCTCTCTTCCAGGAGGTTTGAGTTGTATGTAGTGATGGGTGTGGGTTGTGTGTAGTTTATGTGTGTATGAGTGTGATTTGTGTGTTGGTGATACATGTGTGTGGGGTGCATGTGTGGTCTCTTTTTACACTGGGACTGTCATCTGGCTCCTGAGTGGACCTGGGGTTGTTGGGGAACCTGAACCTAAGATCTCCAAGCAGTGAGGCCTCTCAGAAACTAGGCAGCGGGATTGCCTGAAATCAGGCAGTGGGCTCTGTTTTGATTGCAAAGCTCGGCCACAGCTGCATTTTATTTGGCCTACCGGATTTTTTACCCCCTGTGCTGGGGATGGAACCCAGGGCCTTAATGTATGGCTGGCAAGTGCTCTTGCTAGTATACAGAGTCCAGGATTTTTCTTTTAAATCCAAATCAGCAGCCAATATTTAAGAATTAGGGCATTGCACTGAAAAAATCCACAATTTTGGTTTCTATGGAAAATTCAGAAAGGCTAATGCCAGGTGTAGCCTACAGCCCTTGACCCCTTGGCTGTGCAACCATTCTTATCTCTCTGTTTTACACAAGAGGAAACCGAGGCCCAGGGAAGTTAAATAACTTGCCCAAGGTCACACAGTGAAAGCAGCGATCCAGTGGCCTTTCCTCTGATCCCTGGGCGTCACTGCCTTTAGCTCCTAGCAGAGTTGGAGCAGCCATGTTCCTCTGAGGTCAGCCAGACTATTTGCATCCCTGCTTGGCTCATTTCTGTCAACTGCATGGCCCGAGCTGAATGGAACCCCCTGGGTCTGCCATCCCGAGTTCCTGGCGTTGCTAAGGAGGTCAGCCTGATCCCTTGCCCACCCAGGGCTGCCCCAGCCCCTCGGTGCCACACGATCTCTGGGGACTCACTGATGACGTCCAGGACGCTGTGCTCGGAGAAGGTGTACTGGTTGTAACCGCCGAGGTCTCCGCGGAAGTAGTACTTGCCCCCCAGCTCCGGGCTGAGGGTGCTGAGCAGCAGGGTGCAGTTTCGCAAGCCCAGGTCTCCCAGCAGGCGACTGCGGCCTTGGAAGCTCTCGTGGACCACTTGGGTGCGAGACTTGAAGACCACCGGGGGATAGTTCTTGGGGTAGGGGCTATTGAAGTACCAGACACCATGCACCACGGCTGGCCGGAGCTCATCAGGGAAGTCGAAGCGACAGGGGATGGAGACACACGTGCCCTCGAAGGCCGAGATGGACGAGGGCATCCAGGCACTCCAGTGGCCCCCTCGAGAGGCTGTGGGTGAGCAGAAGCATGGGGGCTGAGGGATACACCCCACCCACTTCAGCTCCTAATTACCCCCCTGCCAATGCTGGGAGTCCTGGACCAAGGCTCAGGTTCCTCAGCACCCCCTCTCCCCAGCCATACCTGAGATCATAATCCAGAACAGGGGCAGGGCAGTGAGGAATATCATTTTGTACAGCAAGTGAGTGAGCCAGAGCTGGGAGAGAGAGCAGCGGATTAGAGGCCAAGGAAGTAAGAGGTGGAGCTTCCTGAAAGGCTCAGGGCGGGGGCTGGGCAGAGGTCCCCTGCCGCTGTCATTTATCATCCATTTATGTTCTTTTTTTCTTTTTGGCGGTATTGGGGTTTGAACTCCAAGCCTTGCACTAGCTAGGCAGGTGGTCTACCACTTGAGCCGCACCTCCAGCCCTTTTTGCCTTAGCGTATTTTTCAGATAGGGTATTTCAGTTTTTGCCCAGGCAGGCTTCAGACCTCAATCCTCCTACTTATGCCTCCCACATAGGTGGGATTGCAAGAGCAAACCACCATGCCCAGGTTGTTGGCTGAGATGGAGGTCTTGCTAACTTTTTGCTGGGGTTGGCCTCAAACCTTGATCCTCCCAATCTCCACCCCCTAAGTAGCTGGGATTACAGGTGTGAGGCACTGGGCCTTGGCTCTGATTACAGACTCTTACATGACATTGGCCATATGCCAGGCCTCGATGCCTCCCTCTGCTATATTAGCTCTTCTGATCTCTTCGAGGTTGGTGCGGTTATTGTCCTCATTTTCTAGCTGAGATCTAGAGACGTTAAGTAGCTTGCCCACGGTCACACAGCTGGTCTATAGTCTTAGCCACCAAGCTATCCTGTCTTCACTTGGTAGTGACGTGTTTAACGACCTTCAGCACCATAACGTCCCAGGGGATGTCCAGACCCCCAGGACAGAGCCACAGCTGGATAAGCAGTGGGAACCGGGAAGCCAGGAAGAAGCGGATGGTGGCACCCTGCCCTTACCTCGGTCTCCCTGAGTTGATGTATCTTCTGATTCCACGTGAAGTAACCAGCCAGCCCACCTGGAGCAAGAGTCAGATAGGTGACAGGGGTAGAAGTCTGAACACCCACCAAGCCCTCCTCTGGTCCCTATTCTGGGTGGCGGCCTTTGTAAGGCTGCCGAGTGGTCTGTGTTGCCTGTGGATGGACGCTCGGGAGCCTCCCACACAGCTGAGAAGCCATGCTGTGACAACAGCTCCCCCCACAGCGGGCGAATGTGGAGAGGGATGGGGAGCAACAGTGTTGGGATGGGGGTTAGGGGTGTGGTGAGTGGGGAGAAGGAGCAGATGTCCCACGGCTGAGGCCTGGGGGTGGCAGGCAGGGACCCAGTCCCATCAATGACTGGGTTTCAGAACATCAGCATTCTCCACATGCCTGCGAATTCCTGCCGCCCCCTCCCACCCAGCGGCCGGCCCCTGATGTCCCAACCCTCACCAGAGGCTGGTGCCCAGTACAAAAGAGCCCTGTTCCTTTGGGGTACAGATGCCTCATCCTGGGGGCTCCTGGGGTAGGTGGGGAGTGAGCGAGGCCTTGGGCGTTCCTGACTAGGTTCTGAGTGAGGCCAGAGGGTGAGTGAGCCTCTGGCACCCAGCTGTTCTGTGGGTCGCCTGAGGCTGGAGCTAAGATTTCCAAGTGCTTTTCCCAGTTTCTTCCCACGGACAGACACGGACGCATGCACAGACACATGCAAACGCTGGCTGGAAATGTGACAGCCAGAAGCCAGCTCACAGTAAAGACAAGTGAGGATGTATTTCGATCCTGAGATCCCTGTCCACAGAGATGGGCCAACACACGCGTGGTCCTGGAGGCTACCTGACTGCCTTCTCCCCTGGGCACGCACACCTGGACAGACCCAGGTATGGCTTTCAGGTGCACACACATGGCCCTGATGGCTGTGCACCTCAAGACACACCTGCTCCTATGCTGAGGTGTAACTATGAATGGGTCCCCAGTGAGGGGAGGCAGGCACTGGTGAGAACCAGACCCGTGGCCTGCAGAGGTGCAAAGCATGGACCGTGATTCTCAATCCTGGTCTTGAGGTGGGAGGTTAACAGTTTGACAATGGCTTGTAGCCCCCTTGAGGATCCCAATGCGTGTAAGCACTGAGATGGTGTATCTGTAGTGTTAAATTTCCAACACAGGGTGGGAAAAGGATAGACAAATCTACAAAGTTTCTTTAGGGGGGTGTAATGAAAGACGTTGAGACACTGACAGAGGTGGTTACACAAGAGAGATGCGCACACACTCACGTACACCCCCACCCCCTGTGCTGTGCACCCAGAATCGATCTCATTCAAAGCCCACCACCCTCATCCTCATCCACCTCCCAGATGGCAGCGCGTGGGTGTCTGGTCACCTGGCACCCCTTCCCTTCTTCACCCCAGACCACTGTCATCTCATCCGTCCCAAACTTGGGAGCCCCAGGGAGCTGCTGCTACAGAACCTCTAGCTACGAGGTGTGCCAAGGAGGGCCCTTGTTCTTTCTTCCTGTGTTTTCTTCCCAAGACCCCATCACTGCTCCCACTGTGGTCCGAGCCTATCCACAAGTAGTCCCAGGCAATGCTTTACCCTGTTCGAAATGAGTGGCCATTCAGTTCCCGTGCCCGGTGCGCCTCGCCTTGCACATGGCTGAGGCTGGTCCTCCCAACCTCCCAGGGTTGCCTGCCCCTCCCAGCCCTGGCCCCGTGTGCAGTACTCACTTGGATGCTCTGGCTTCTGACCCTCTAACTCCGCTGCCCAGGCTCACAGTCCCCTGGCCTCCCAGGGTCTAGGCCCCCACTTGTCAGCCCCTCCCCTGCCCCTGGGTGCCAGGGGCCGCCTGCCTCCAGGGCCCAGCTCCTCCCTGCCCCTGGGGGAGGGGGGCACAAAGGGGCCCTTGTCACTGCAGGGCTTGGACTGGGCAGCCTGACGCCTGGGTTCTACGAGCTCCTTCCTGAAGGGGTTGGGGTGCTGCCTAGCTCCTTCCCCCTCCTCTATCATGTACACCCCAATTCTGGGTATAGGGAGCTAATATCTCTGGGAGTCCCAAGCTGAAGGCAGAAGCATTGTCCTCAGGAAATTGGTGGCAACGTTAGAGGTCACCCTGGTTCCAAGAGGCCAGCAGAGGCTGCTGTGGGCAGTAAGAGGAGAGAGGTCCTTCCCACCTACAGGGTCAGTGTTACCTCCACCATGTCTAGGGTCTCTTCCCTTCCTCTGGTGGCTCTTGTCATCCAAAATAACTTTGTGCATTAACTGCCTCCTCCCAAGAGGACATGGACCCCCGAGAGGCTTTGTCTGTGTTGTTCTCAAGTGGTCCCTGCTTATTAATAAACTCAGAGTGGGTGGCTGACCGAATGGCTGACCTGTTCCTCAAATGCCCCGTGCCACTTTTGGACTCCTGTTTCCTGGAAAGATGTCTCCCTGGCCACCACATAGGATTGGATGACACTTTCTCAGGCTGTAATCCTGCCTTACCTGCTGCTCCCTCCTTTAAAAAAACTGCTTCTGAGACATGTACCCAGGCTGGCTTCAAACTCACACTCCTCCTGGCTCCGAACTCCCAAGTGCTAGGATTACAGGGGTGTACCACCATGCCTGGCTCCTGCCCCTTCATTTTAATGCTGTCCTGTCCTTCCATAGGGCTCAGCGTAGTTGTGGATTCAGATTTCCATTCTGCAATGCCGCTTGTCTAGCCCGAGCTCTCAGAGGACAGGGTCTTGGTAGAAACCTGTCAGTGTGTCTGTCTTGTGCACTTTGATTGCCTAGATCCGTGCCTGGTACACAGGGCTGAGCTGGCTTTCCCACCTGGGTGAGGACACTCTGAGTGTGTGGTTCCACAGAGGTCTGGCCACCACCTCAATTTCTCCCCTTGGTCATGACCTTGCAAAGGGTCAAGGGTGCTGGTGGTGGTGTTGGAGGTGGTGAGATTGAGTGCGGCCGAGGTTTGATGCTGACATGTGAGCAGCTCAGCTGCCCTGTGAGGCTAGAGCAGTGTGGGAGGGGGGAAGTCATCTCTCCCCAAGGAGAACCCGGGTATGGGACAGGGAAATCCCTTGTGGGGGGAGCAAGGCAGGAATCAAGGAGACTGAAGGGGGGAGAGAGAGTCCCACCACCCCCACCTCGGGCCTCATGATGTCAGACTCTGCCCGTGCCTTTCCCAGTCTGAGACAATGGCCCATTGAAAGTGGGGTGGGGCTTGAATGCCTGGGTCCTGTGAAGAGAGGGACCTGGTGCCTGGGCTTTGGAGGAGAACACTGAGCTCCTGGGGTGCTCTGTGTCACAGTTTTCCATCCACACAAGCCCCACTGAGGTTATGCTCCTGTGCTCTGTGTGTGTGTGGGGGGAAGGTCCATGCCCTTTCTGGGTGTGAACTAAAAGCTGACCTGGAAAAGGAATCAGGGCATGTGTGTCCCACAGACAGCCTGGTGACCACTGTGGAATTCTGTGACCTGGGGGCTCCGGCCCACCGGAATGAGGCAGGTGGAGTGAGAATGAGAGTGGGGCTGGGGGGCTGCAAAACCAGAGAACAGATGTCCTGTCCAAAGGGGTCGGCCGTCACGCAGACCCAGCTGCCAGCCTCACCTTAGCTGATGGTTTTTTGAGAAAGCAGTTGTATTTGTTTGCTAGGGCTGTAACAAAGCACATAAGACAAAATGAGTGGCTTAAAAGCCAGAATGTGGCCAGGCATGGTGGTACATGCCTGTAATCCAGGCAACTTGAGAGAGACAGGAGGATCAAAAGTTTGCCGCCAGTGTGGACAAAAGTAGGAAGACCCTGTCTCAAAAACAAAATAAAAACAAAGGGTGTGATGCAAGTGGCAGAGGGCTTGCCTCATGACAGTAGGAATTATTTATGCAATGTTCTGATATTTAATTATTAGTCTAATTTAATCTAAAATACTGTGCAGACCAATACAAAATTATCTTAAGGTAGAATGAAGCTCTTAGGCATCCCCGCCATAATGCTCTTTAGAATGGGGGCTGGGCTTGGTCAACCAGGACTTGTCAGTTTCATGTTAAGGGTCCCCCAAGTGTGGCCTCTGGGCCAGCAGAGGTGGCAGGAATAGCATCACATGGGGGCTTGTTAGGGAACGAGGAACTCCTGTGGAAGCCTCGGTGCTCTGCCCCCTAACAGGTCCTGTGGGATCCCCTCTGCCACACACCGAAGCTTCACGTAGCCTCACCTCTAAGTCCCCACCCAGAGAACTGTGTGCCACGGGAGACAAGAGCACCCCGTGTTATTCACTGTAATTAGCAATGTCAATCACTTTTTTTTTTCTTTCAGTACTGGGGTTTGAACTCAGGACCTACACCTTGAGCCACTCCACCAGCCCTCTTCTGTGATGGGTTTTTTTGAGATAGGGTCTCATGAACTATTTGCCCAGGCTGGCTTCCTGGAGCCTCCTGATTTTTGTCTCCTGAGTAGCTAGGATTACAGATGTGAGCCACTGGCTCACTTTCTTTGCTGTAACAAAATACCCGAGAACACACCTTAAGGATTTGTTTTGGCTCCTGGTTTCAGAGATTTCAGTCCGTTGTCAGCTGGTTCCATAGCTCTGGGCCTGTGTGAGTAGGTAAAGAGGGTGTAAAGGACGTGCAGTAGAACAGAGCTGCAGAGTAGAACAGAGAAGAGCCTGAAGAAAGGTCTGGGACAAGATATTCCGCCAGTGACTTACCTCCTTCTTCTAGGCCCCACCTCCTAGCTTCCATCACCTCCCAAAAATGCCATTACATTATGGGCCCATCAGTGCAAATCAGATCCAATCACCTCTCAATAGCACCACCAGCTGGGGACCATCTGGGGGGACATATTTGCACCGCCATGGTGTTATAAGGGGGTTGGGAGAGGCCTCCATTCTCTGTCAATACTAACCCTCCACCTCTAGGAGGCATTTACCAGTTTGCAGACAATCCCACACTCCTCTGTGAGTGCTCCACAGCCAGGTGAGCCAATACTCCTCTTACAGATGCCTTGGCAGAGTTTCAAGGGGCCACAGCTAACAGGAGGTCAAGCCGTCTACTTCAGAGTCCTCGCGGTAGCCCTTCAGTCTCCATTCAGGAGAACCGAGGACTTTTTCTTTTGGTACTGAGATTTGAACTCAGGGCCTCACGCTTGCTAGGCAGGTGCTCTACCACTTGAGCAACTCCACCAGCCCTTTTCTGTGAAGGGTGTTTTTGGAGAGAGGAGCTCTCAGAACTATTTGCCCAGGGCTGGTGTTGAACCGGGCTCCTCTGCCTCCTGAGTAGCTAGGATTACAGGCGTGAGCCACTGGTGCCCCACAGTAAATCTGACAATATGGAGACCAGAAATTGTCCACTTCTCTGAGGAGGGGTATGTAATTTGTCGCTTTCACCCTTGTTCTGGGGTACTCGTGTCACAGCCTTGACGTAGGAGGGAGTGGAGGGGGATTCCTGAGGGAAGGACGCAGGGGCAGGGCAGGGGAGCGTTCCCAGGTTTTGTGAGTTCCCTGATCTGCTGAGGGTGGAGATTGCAGCGCTGTATTCCAGGTGGGTGCAACCTCTGACGTCATTGGCGGGGAGGGGCGCCGCTGGCCGTTGTACTGCGCATGCTCTTTATTTCTGGTTTCAACTGGGTCAGGGCTGTGACCAGGCCCTCCTGTTTTAGTGTCTTGTTGGACCTGCTGTTTGCTGGGTTACATACACACAGCCCACCGTGAGGAGTTAGTGAAGCACAATTGCACGGTTACAGAAGAGTCGGTGTGATGACCAGAGGCACAGGAGTCTTCGTCCCTTCACCTCCTCCTGGGTGGCCTGGCGCGCATAGCTGCCAAGGCCATTTGCAGAAGCTGGGGTACAGTGCCGATCTTCTACCAGCTTTGTTCAGTTTGACTTACAGAATGTTGATTTTTAAAAAAAAGTTCTTTTCACCAGTTGCCAATATTTTAAAAATCAGGACATTTTATGTAAAAATGTAGATTTCCATCTTCTCTTGAGAAAATCGGAAGTGCTCACTCTGGCCTGCTCTTAGGCAGAGGCCATCCCTTGGAGCTCCCGGTAGCCAGGCCCCATCAGTCCCCAGCACTGAGGTCATGTAGGTGGTCAGCGCCTTCATCATGAGAGCTGTTGTCATATGAGCTAGGAAGATAGTGAAATGCATCTTCTGCCTCTCTATCAAAAGTAGCACATGATAAAGCGAGAGCACACAAGGGAGGGGTGAGGATAGGTGAGACACCTAAAAAACTAGTTAGCATTTGTTGCCCTTAACGCAGAGAAACTAAAGCAGATACCTTAAAGCAACTGAGGCCAATAGGAAAAGGGGAACAGGTACTAGAGAAAAGGTTAGATCAAAAAGAATTAACCTAGAAGGTAACACCCACGCACAGGAAATCAATGTGAGTCAATGCCCTGTATAGCTATCCTTATCTCAACCAGCAAAACCCTTGTTCCTTCCTATTATTGCTTATACTCTCTCTACAACAAAATTAGAGATAAGGGCAAAATAGTTTTTGACGGGTAGCGTGGGGGTGGGGGAGAGGAAGGGGCTGGGGGTGTGGGGGGACATAAGGGAGGGGGTGGGGGGAGGGGGGAGAAATGACCCAAACATTGTATGCAAATATGAATAATAAAAAAAGTGAGACAGTCAGCCTGCTGTGGTAGCACGTGCCTGTAATCCCAGCACTTGGGAGGCTGAGGTAGGAGGATCCCAAGTCCAAGGCCAGCTTGGGCTGACCCAGGAAGAAAGGGGAAGGGGAAGAGGAATAAGAATGGAGTCTCCCAGCAGGATGGGAGATGAACAGCATTGCCATGTGTTATGCGTGCCCTTATTGAGAGAGAATAACTCAAAGAGCTCCTAGAAAGCCAACCCAGCGCTCCTCACTCACTCACTGAACCATTCTGGTTCTCTGTGGCCAGAGATTCTCAACTCCTTTACTCTGAAAAATTATTGAGGATCGCAAAGTTTTTTTTAAGTTCTTTTTTTGTGTGTGATACCTGGTTTTGAACTCAGGGCCTACACCTTGGGCTACTCTTGCCATCCGAATTTTTTGTGAAGGGTTTTTTTTCAAGATAGGGTCTTGAGGAACTATTTGCCAGGGATGTATTTGAACCACGATCCTCCTGATGTTTGTCTCCTGAGTAGCTAGAATTACAGGCATGAGCCACCGGCGCCTGGCTTGTTTTAAGTTTTCTGTAGGTTTTATCTACAGTTGTTAAGTGTATTAGAAATTGAAACTAGGACATTCTCTCTGTTTCACTCTTCTCTTCTCTTTCTCTCCCTCTTTGAGCCAGGTCTCACTAAGTAGCCCAGGCTGGCCTGGAACCCACTATGCAGTTCTGAAACTGGAAAAATTTTAAAAGCACAAGAAACACTCCATCAGCCATCAGATCGATGATGTCATCACATCACAGGGCCTGGGAAAAACTCCACTGTACAGGGTGAGAAATAAACTGGCAACTAACGTCTTAGTTTCTGCCTCCTGCAACCCTGGAAGGAGACCCCAGCTCTTGCGCTGAGAACCTGTGTTAGGCGCTAGACATTGTGACCCTTATTTTACAAAGACTAAGAGCGGCAACTTTGTTAAACTTTCCACCCCCTGCTTTGCGACATAAATTCGAGATCTTCTGAAGTATGAAGAACAGAAAGCAAATTTGTTTCCCCAAGCTTTCCAACAACTTCCAGTGCACACCAACTCTGCACATCCCACTGAGCTCTGGCCACGCAAAAGCAGGGGTCAGCACAAGCCCCGGGCAGTGGCCCTTGGCAGGGAAAAATGACAACAGACACTCCAGTTTGAAAAATAAAAGCAGATCAGCTGTTTTATTCCAAGACCATTATTGGAGGGAGGACAGGAATAAATAAGGGAGGGAGATGAGGCCTGGGGGTCAGGGTGGGTGTCTCTTAGACCTTGCAGCATATCCCACAATTTGATTTCAAGTTACAGCATTTACAGCAGAAAATGCAGATGGGTAAGTGGGTGTCTCGCTTCCTGAGCCTCTGGAACACGGGCTGTCGGGAGAAAGGGAGAGTGAGGGGGCGTGAACCTGGGCAGGGGACTGCGGGGACCAGGGAGGTCTAAGGGAGCTCTCACCTTCAAGCCGGCTGTGGCTTCAGCTGTGTGCTGGGGCTGGAGGTCTGCCCGCTGCTCTGTCTGTGAAAACGGAAGAGGCATTGAGGATGGCAGAGGCCCAGCAGAGCTCTTAAACTTGTCTCCAACAAGTGGTGTCTGATTGCTCAGCAGGACTCCTAGGAGGAACCTTGACTTCCTCATCGTCCCCCTCCCCGGGCAGTTCTTCCTAAAAACACTGCACAACGGTCAGGTCACCTTTTCTCCCCACAGCTGCTGTTCTTCTGCAAGGATGCCCACACCAGCCTCCTGAAAGCCTCACTGCACAGTGGGGTACAGTGCAGCGAGGTGACTTTTAATGTTGCCACTCGGATTGTGACTTTCCCCATCTTCAAAGTCTACAGGGAGTTCTCAGCACTCTGAGGTGAGTCAGTGTTTACCCAGGGGCCCACAACACTTGGGCTGGTCTACACTGCCACTCGGGACACTGTCCCTCCTCTCTGTGCCTGTCACCCAATGCACAGGTCAAGTATCATTTTTGTCACAAAACACTCTTGCTGACTGCCAGCCTTTGGTCCCCCGCAGTCATTCTGTCACCACGTATTGCATTTACTAAGCACAGTTACTTATTTATTAATGCCCTGACCCGGATATAAGCTCCGTAGGTGCAAAAATCTTTCTCTACATTGGTTCATTGCGTAATCTACACTGTCACTGAGATTTGACAGCGTGGGGATTCAGTGACATCTGTGTAATTAGGGTAGGAGCCCCTGGTCTTTCCACTCAGGACTCCATCCCTGACCTTTCAGCAGCTGCCCCCCGCCCCAGCTCTGCTCCGTGGTCCCCAGTCATCCTCAGCTGCCCTCTCCCAGGGCTCTGGTTGTCTGACCACAGCGCTGTTAGGACCCAGGCCCCTGGGCTCTCACCCGTTGCTGGAGAATGGTGCCACTGGTCAGGCTAGAGATGAGGAGAATCAGGAGGCAGGCAGCCCGGATCTGAGTGTTCAGTGCCATTGTGCCGTGTCTGACCTGCTGTGGGTCCTGCTGTGGGTCTAGGATTTGTTCTGTGGCACAACAACAGTCACTTTTATATGGACTGCCAGAGGAGGCGGTGGTCTGAGCCCCCACCCCTTTGCCCTGACTCATTTCCAAGAAGGTGGTGGCGCCGAAAAGGCGGGAGAGATAAGCGGGAAGAGTGACAGGGGACAGGGTTGTGTCACCCTCAGCCAGCAGAGGTGTGTCCTGGGGGACAGGCAGATGGGGCACAGACACATGCCTCTGGGCAGCCACCTGGGTGATGTGACATCACCCTGTTATCTCAGAAAAATTCCCCTTTTGCAGTGGCAGAAGCAGAGTCCCCCACTGCCCCACCCCGATGTCCTCTCATGTGAGCATGGCTATCACAGGCTCCTCAGAAGGGCCAGTGGGGGATGGGGACAGCCCATTGCTTTGGATTCTCTTCACAGATGCACGGTGTAGAAGGGATACTGCTGAGGGTCCCATGAACCCTCACCAAGCACGTGGTGTTTTCCGAGCATCACAATCTCAAGTTGCGGCTCCAGGAGCTGGAAATGGCAGTGACTGTCACTGCCAGGGGCTGCTGAATGCATTTTACATGCCAGAGTATGTGTCCACTAACTTTTGGTAAACCAGTGCCACCTGGCCTCCCAGTGCTGCCTGTCGTCGTGGACCCTGCTGAGTTTAGGGTCTTGGCTGCCTTTTAATCACCCACTCTAGGGACCTTGGCCTCTGACACCAGGGCCTGTGACCTTAATCATTTAGCCTTCCTGCTTCCCCTAAGCACGGGGGAGGGAGGCACAGTGGCTTGTTAGGCCTGACTCGGCAGAGCACCTAGTGTGTTTAGTGCTACCTTGTTGACACCCGGTCAGCAGTGGTGGGAGTGCTTGTAACACAGAAGTCAGCAAACACTACACACCAGCGCTTTGTTTCTTAGCTGGCTCCCAGGATGCCCCTGGGAGGGCACGAGCCATAGCTGTCTGATGTCTACTCACCCGGACCACCTCAGTGCACATGGTCCAGGGCCCCAACAAACCTTCATTCCAGAGATGGGCCCTAGACCGCTGTGCCTGACCCACGCCAGGGCCAGCGTCAACCTGTCACAGGAGCCTAGGGAATGACGTTGCTAAGGAGTGAACACTTCTCCCTGTCCCCGAACTGCCAAGACCCACTTAAACGCAAAAATGCAAAAATGCACGTGCCCCAGGGAAGCAGTTTGCTCCCTGCCACACAGGTCCCTCATTCCCTCCACACGGTGGCTCCTGTGCGATGGCTTCTACAGGTCCACAGGGGATGGCCAGGGAAAGCAGACAGGGCTCTGGGAGGGGAGACAGCTGGGGGACTTGGGGTGGTGTCAGGGTAGGACTCAGCCAAAATCCTGGGAGTGGGTAAGCTCAACAGGGGCTGCCTGGTCTCCCCTGGGCACACAGCAGCATCCCCAGCTCTGCTGGGCATCGCCGTGTTGTGGCTCTGGCCAGGTTTCATCATCAGCCAGGGGCAGGGGTCATGGCTCAGGCGCCAGAACCCCAGCGTGAGGCGACAGGCTGACGGGCCAAGCCTGGCTTCCTGGCCACCTGCCCTCCCTGGGGGTGGGGGGCTCAAGGCCAGGCCCCCTCATTGGCTGGTGCAGAGGGGAGGGCTGCAGCCCCAAAGGGCAGGGCCAGGAGTTGGCCCTGTTTTCAGGAACTGCTGACACAGAAGACCCCAGCCTCTTCTCCAACAACACCGGCCATGGCCTTGACCACAGCTCTCCCAGCCCCACCCCATATACCTGTCCCTGAGACAGCAAAGCGGATATTCAGTCCTCAGTTCCCCAACCCACCCAACCAATGGCCTGAGGACCACGTGGTGTAGGGTGGCAAGCACTGGCACACAGATGGAGCCTTGGCCTCACAGTTCCACAGACCCCAGCCCCTCCCCATACTGGAGATGGACGGACACACAAACAGACAAGGCGGGGGCCACATGGGGCCAGTTTATTGCAGTTAAATACCTCTCTCTATTTTTTTTGTCCACTTTTCCATAAAGAAAATTAAAACACACACACGCGCGCGCTCACACACACACCCAAAGGGGAGCAGGGATCCAGAAACAAGAGGTGGGGTGAGACATGGCCTCCCTGCATAGGTCCAGGCCCCAGGGATGGCCCCCCAAAGCTCCCTCCTTCCCATAAGCACCCTGTCCAGTACCTCTGGAGACCAGGGAGGCAGCAGGAGCAGCAGGGCCTCTGTCCTCCTCTCTCGCCTCCGGGTGAGACCATTAGAAGTGCCAGGGCCTGGCGAGGGCCAAGCCGGGAGACTGACAGACAGGCGGGCTTTCATTTCCAAGTTGAGGAGGGTGGTGGGCAATGTATCCACAGAAATGCATTGTCTCCCCGTTTTTGTTAAAAATCTACTATAAAAAACGCAGCTGGGGGAGGGGCCATGTGTCCCTCTCTGTGCTAAGGGCTGGGGGAGGGGCAGCAGAGGCCGGCGGCTGCACAGTGGGGACAGGCAGGCGTCACTGCCGGGTGCTCTCGCCCACCATCTCCAGGTTGTGCTGCTGCAGCTGGGCTCGAAGCAGGGCGTTCTCATTCTTCAGCTCCTCTATCTGCAGACGTGACAGGGCACACGTGACCCAGGGCTGGCTCTGACACCTGGGACTGCTGGGGTCCCCACTCAGCTCTGGGCCTGCACTCACCTGCTGCCTCAGGAGCTCATTGTCCATCTGCAGCCGCTCTGCCTCCTTGAAGGTCTCCTGCATGCGCTGGTTGGTCTGGCGTAGCTCCCGGATGTAATCGCAGGCCTTCGACAGGATGCCCCCTTTACTCTGGGGTGGGGGTAGGCAAGAGCATCAGAAGCACTGCCCACAGGCTCACCCCAGGACAGCTCCGGGGCCTGGCATTAGCCAGACTTCCTGGAGGAGCGGGGGGACGGGCCCACTGGCACAGAGGAAGGTCAGCTGGCTTCCAGGCCAGAGCGTGCAGGGACACTCACCGCTCCTGTCTTGCTGTTGTCTGCGTTACAATCTGGAATGATTTTTGAAAGTTGGACTATCCAGTTGTTGATCTTGTCCCTTCGCCTCCGCTCCACTGCAGGGAAAGCAGGAGTCACTCACGATGGCTCTGACGACAAGAGCTGTGTGCCTTACGCCTGCCTCCCAGGGCAGACATGTCAGTGCACTGAGCGCAGGCACAATGCCCCAGGCCACAGCGCTGGCAAGGCCGAGAAGGAACCCCAAGCAGCGCTACACTGCCACACATGGAGAACCAACCAAGTCCTGACCCTCAAGGGGACAGAAATCCAGAGCAGAAATCAAAAACTAGAACTACGAGTTGGTTCTGTCATGTCATCTTTGTTCCTTTGGTTGTTTTGGGTTCTTTGGTAGTACTTGGGCTTGAACTCACAGCCTCACGCTTACTAGACAGGCGCTCTACCACTTGAGCCACTCTGCCAGCCCTTTGGGCCAATAAACTTCTGAAAGTCTGAGTTAGCATTTAAAATTAGGAAATTAAACGTCAAAATCAGCATCTGTGGCTTCTTCTGAAAAAATGGAGTTTGGACACTGAGCTTATGCTCTTGGGAGACTTACAGAGACCCGAGGACTTTCCACAGCACCCAGTGCCCCTCTAGCTCCTGCAACCCTGCATGAGATTTTCCCCCATGTCCCAGAAACTCGGGGTCTCATGACCTGCTTTTCTCCTCACCTCTGACACCTAAATCTGACCACATTCTTGCCCTGGTGGATCCCAGCTCTCTACATGGCCACCATGGCTCTCAGAGGCCTGACTGCTCAGACAGTAACGATGTGAACGCTACTCTGAAGGCCAAGGATGGCAAACCAATGGTGGACTGCACCTGAAAGCTCAGACTTGTGATTTTATTTCATAAGACTCCACAATCTCACTCACTGTTAGCTGATGAGTGGCAGCTGCCCCCTGCAGACAGGACAAGTGCCTTCCCTCTGGCCCACATCACGTGCTCAGGACACCTGCCTGGGCCGCATGCATTGGAGCCAGGGACCTGTCTGAGAGCCTGTTGAGGAAAGGCTGCACCCGCCGTTCATTACCTCTCAAGCACAGGCCTCCCTCCCACTGTGGGGGCACCAAAGAAGGTTCAGAGACCCCTACTTCCCCTCAGCCCCCCGCCCTCCTGCTAGGAGGGCAGTGTTTGTGGAGAGAACAGGGCTTATAGCCAGGTGGGATCTGGAACAAAGGCCAAAGGGCATTTCCTAAGGGCCAGGCAGCAATAATGGAAAAGGGCAGAGCTGGGAGAGTGAGAAACAGGTGGCAAGGGCACACACCTTCCTCTTCACATATGAACTCAGCACCCCTCACCCTACTGTCCCCTCAAGGGAACAGGCAGAGAGCCACCACCTTCTCCTGGTCTGTCCATTCCTGCTGGCCAGCCTTCCCAGCCCCCAGGTGCCTCCCACTTTGGCCTGGGTGTGAGGAGTGCTTTCCTCCCTCTGACCACTTCCCCAGCAGGCCCTCCTCCTCTCTTCCCTCCAGAGCCTTCCCAATGCCAAGTGGAGAATGGTGCCTGGTCCTGAGCCCTGCCAGGCTAGGATGTCCATGGTCTGCACTCCGGTCAGCTCTGTCACTGTCACCAACATGGTGAGTGGACTGGGCCACCAACTATGGCAGATCTTAGGGGAGCTCTGCAGCCAAAGCAGAAGCAAAACTGAGTCTATCCTGAGCCTGGTGGCACCACCCACCATGTCCCTCTGCAGTGCCCCATCTCCAAGTTTCTACCTCAGCTGGCTTCTTGGCCTTTCCCCACCTGCAGCCCACCCCTCACAAGTCTAGACACCCCATGTGTCACGGACACTCATTTTAAACCACCAGCAGCAGGCATGCAGTGTAGGGGGGTTTCTACTTCTGAAACACTGGGTACAGAGACTCAACCCTGGCTCTGTCCTGTGCAGAGTGCCAAAGGCCGAGGCACAGCAACGCTGGGTGGGATGAATCTTCAGAGAAAGACATAGAAAACATGTGGGCTGCTTTCTGAGAAGAGGGACGTGGGGCAGATTAGGTGACAAGATCCCAGAAATGGTGCTGTGAAAACACACTGGGGGTGGGGTAGGGGTGGGATGAGGCTGTACGAAGACTATCAAGGCTCTGAATGCCCCACTAGTGAGCTGGACCTCCTCTCCTCCAGAGGCGGCCCCTTGAGTCTAGGGCCTGTCATCAAACAGGTGGCAATGAGGTTAGCCTGTGGCTTGGGAAGACCAAGGCCATGTCCACCCCACTCCACTTAAAGCCTAATCTGCCACGACTGAGGGGGGAATGGACAAATCTCTTTGGAGACCATCAGCATTCCTTTCAACAAGCAGACAAAAAAATCAAGGTGGAAATCCCAAACACATGAGGGCCGGGTCAGTAACATGTAGTCAAAGCACAGAAACCATATGAGCATGTTCTCTGACCACAGAAGAACAGAACTAAAAAAATTAGCAAAGATATCCAGGAAACCCACAAATACCTGGAAATTAAGCAACACGATCCTCAATGACTCAAGGGTCAAAGAAGTCACAGGAAAACACTTTGATCAGAATGATAGTGAAAGCCCTACGTGTGCAAACGGGATGCAGTGAGTGCAGTGTCACAGGAAAACTATGGCGGAACTTGTATAAGCTGGGTGTACTGGTGCCCTTCTGTAATCCCAGCACTTGGGAGGGGGAGGTAGGAGGATTGCAAATTCAAGGCAAGCCTGGGTTATATAGTGAAACTCTGTCTAAAAACAAAGCTTAGTATGCCTGAGGCCATGGGCTCCATCTGGGGTATCGCCAAAAACACCCCAATCAAAACAAGAAAAAAAAAATCAAACAATAACTTGCATTTGGAAAAAGAGGGTTTAAAATCACCTTAAAGTGAGTGTGGGAAAAAGAAAAAAGTCCCACAAAGTCAAAGCCAACGTAAAGAGAAGGGCTCAACTAGCAAGTCATCGGTGCAAATCAACCCAAGAGAGAAAGCAATTCACTTGCATTTAGGGGTAAGTTCGCATAACCATCTGAAATTCTAGCTTCAGCAGCCCTAGACTGATCCATACATCCCAGTTCTCTAGGGACCCCCATGCTCCTTTGTGACACACCTGTGTGCTTCTCTCCCTCAGGCTCCTGCAGAACCAAGGTGAAAAGGAACAAGGCTGATGGGAAACCCACTTGAGCACAGAGTCATGAAGCTGGCTGGCTGGCTGGCAGGGGGCGAGAAGTGGGCGCAGAGAAAGTGGCTCAGGCTCTCCTTGCTGGCTTGGTAGCTGACAGGGCTGCCTTCTGCAGCTTGGGAAAGGGAAATGTTGCTTTGGGGAGGGGTCTTTGAGGAGGGAGGAACATCGAGTGCTGATTTGGACAGATGGAGTTTGAGGCATCTCGAGGCTGGCCAAGTGGAGATTTTGAACGGCTCTTCCCAAGAGGAGCCTGGAGTCCGAGAGAGAAAGATGGAGCAGAAGACAGCTCTGTGTCACCAGGCTCCAGTGGGTGGGCAAAGCCTTGCAAAGGCAGTGAGAGGCAGGGCTCATTGTTCTGTGAGTCAGACTCTTCTGGACCAAAGAGAGATGATGGACACCTACAAGTGGGGGTGAGTTTCGAGAATACTGACCAATCACAGGGTCTGAGGGCCATCCCAGGGTGTAGACGCAGAAACACCTGTAGACAAAGCTGCTTCCCAGACATGCTGACATGAAGAAGTGGCAGGGTCCTGCCTCAAGGACAGGGAGGGAATGGGCAAAGGGGAATCAGAGAGGGCAGGACAAAAAGGAACATTCCTGAAAGGGAGAGGGGTGTCCGGGTCAGATGCTTGAAGCCCGGAAAGGAAAGGAAGCCAGTGGATTTGGCAATGGGTCATCACGGGTGACCTTTAATGGAGCCTATCTGATAGGACCAGACCACTAGGGAACAGGGAGGCTGAGCGATCTGCAGGCTGGCAGTGGCTGTAGTGGAAGGGTGAGGGCATGAAGAACACTGCTTTCAGAGGCTGAGAAACACTCAAGATGGCCTGGAGGTGGATGAGTGCAGGTAGAGGCACAGTGAGTGGGGCAAGAGGGTGACTGGATGGTACCACAAGCGCCGTATGCGTCAGTCTTTCCAGGCAACACATCAGACACGCACAGGGGACTCGAGTTAGTGCGACTTCACAGAGGACAACAGAGGTGCAGAAATTAAAAAACAGCCTGAGGCGGGTGGTGGAGCCCTCAGACTCCCCCCAAGTTCCCATGCCATCCGACTCATTCTTTCCCTTCAAAGCAACCTGACCTCAGCATTAGGCCCTGACCCTGCAGTTCTGGAATCTTCCCGTACCCAGCCCTTCACACCTTTGGCCTCAAAGGCATTTTGACATCCACCTGCAGTCAGTTCCCTCCTACTTGCCTCGCCTCCACTCACAAACCCTCTGCGGGCTTCCTGCCACCCCAGAGCCAGAGACATCTACCTTAGGAGGGTTTCTCACGAGGACCAGTGTGAGCTGGCCTGGCAGGCCCCTACCTTGGCTCCGCCACCTTCCTCTTTCCCTTCCTGAGTTCTGCTCTTCTAGGGCCTAGGCGTCCTGCTGTCTCTCCTACCTGCCTGGGACTCTCCCCTACATCCCTGAGCAGTTTGTTCCCGCCCAATCAGGCCTCTGCTCAAATGTTCAGATGCCTTCAGAACACACGGCTACCATTCCCGAAATCTCCTCACTCAGCTGTATCTCTCGGAGTGTCCTATCATGGCACCTGACGGCAAATCGCAGGTGTGTGGCTTCTGTCGCTCACCCCAGGGAACACTGTGAGAGGCCAGACTCCACCTCTTCCGTTAGCCACTGCACCTAAGAGCCTGAAAAGGGGGTTTGGCACAGCTGTGTGGCTGTTACCTGAAAACTGAACTCACAAGCTGCTTACAGTAGCAGGCTAGCACCTCCACGTCACATCAAACACCTTCAGGACTCAGACCTTGTCTGGCATAGCCTCCGCATGGACAATCCCAGATCCCTTTTCAAGGCAGCCACGACACCAAGCCAGCGCCCCTGGTGCAACCTGACCCCCTCGACCTTCCCCAAAGACGTGCTCCCCTTCACCTGCCAGGCTCCCAAGGAAGGTTTCCTGGGGTGGCCTTGCCTCACCCCCGTGTTACCTCCCTCCTCTCAGCCTCAGACACTCCAGGCCAGGCTGCAGACCTGGCACAGGGCTCATGCTGCCAAGCCTAGGATTTAGGATCAGTAAATATTTGTTGAGTGATGGTTGTTTGGGTGTCAGTGCTCCCCTGGCACTTGCAGGCTGCTGTGTGCATCACAGTGGCAGCTGGTCAGGATAAGGAGACTAGGGAACAGCAAAGGAAAAAAGACCTCAGGATGGGACCTACTGTTTCTGGGAAAAGCAGATGCTCCAGCCTTGGCTGGACAGAGACACAATTTCCTGCTCACGTGTTTGGTTACTGCTGGAGGAAAGGTGACATGGGAGTGAGGGGAGAGGACACAAAAGCTGCTCCCGTGGCAAAGGGCGTCTGGGGGAGCCAGATCAACCCCAACTTTCAAGAGGAGCAGAAGTCCATAGGTGCCATTCGGGATTTTAGCCATTAACTCAAACTCACTAGTTGAGCATGACAAAACAGTGGGCCAGTTCCACTTCACCCCTGGCCCCGCCTGGTCTCCTGATACCCAGGGGGGGGGTGGGGGGGGGGGGGGGGGGGGGGGGGGGGGGGGGGGGGGGGGGGGGGGGGGGGGGGGGGGGGGGGGGGGGGGGGGGGGGGGGGGGGGGGGGGGGGGGGGGGGTGGGGGGGGGGGGGGGTGCTGTCTTTCCCTTGCCTTCATTCCGCCTTGCTGAATTCAACCAATCTCATAACAGCTGCGTGGCCGCAGTGGGTGCGACCTGCTTCCCTGCCTGTGGCTCCATGCCTGGGAGTGCCACCTTGTCCTTACCTTCGTTGTGCTGAGCTCGCCTCCTCTCATCCCGGGGTGTTCTCGTCCCATCGATTTTTCTAGAAGAGAAGAAAAACTTGAGTACGTGTTATCTCAGGCCCGTCTGCCCAAGTGTTTGTTAAGAAGCCAGATTTGCTACTTATGTTTCCGAAGCAAACCCATGTGCAGAGAACTGGCACTTTTTTTTTTACTGGTCTCTCAGAAGTAGAAGCCAGCTTAAAAACACACTCTGGGCTTGCTGTGTGCCCTGCCTCTAGGCCAGAAATCCCCCACCCCCTCAGCCCCACCATGGAGCCCTCCCAGCATCCTCTACTCCTGGGATGGAGACTCCGGCACCTACGGAGAGTAGGGGTGTGTCCGAGGGGCAATCGTCCTCTGTGTTCCTGTCTGAAGCACGTCCTGGGGCGTCATCATGACATAAAACTGGCCTGTCGGGAAAGATAAACAGGTCAGTACCAGACTGACAATGTGAGAACTGGCAGGGGGCTTCCCTTGCTGCTAGGTTGGCTGCCTCCCTTATCTGCCCCTCCAGCTCCCTCTTCTCCATACCTCCAGCCTGCAAGCTCTGGTCTGTGGTCTGTACGGACACAGCTGTGGTATCTCCCACACTGGATGCTGGGAAATAGGCAAACCGTGCCTCCCCACTGACAGCCTCGGCAGCAGGGCTGCCACCATTGCTGAAGGGATTTTGGATTACAGCCTGGGGAGGAGGAGGACACAGAGGCCATCCTTAACCACCTCTGCCACCCTCATCCCAACCCTTGTTGTCAGGCTTGCTGTTCAGTGCATTTTCTGTGGAGAAGGAATCTCTGTGCGTCATCCTGTCCCTGCCTCCTGGCAGCCCTCTACAGATACTCAGCTGTCACATGCAGAGCATCGCCCCAATTTTACAGAATAAAAAAATCCCAAGAGCTCCATCCAAAGAACCACTGCACAAGAGCGATCTCATCCCACTACCCTGGCCGCCTGTAGGCAGTATCTGTGCGCCCTCGCCCCACCCCTGGAGCTCCCCAATAGCAGAACTACGGCCCCATCTCCATCCCCCCAGCAGCTGCTGGGCACCTACCAGCGGGAAGGGTGCGGCGGGACCTGGGGGCACAGAGGCAGCGGTGGGGCCGGGGCGCTGGGCTGCCCCGTCCACACCCACCTGGGTCACAGCCTGCTGCCCCCCCGCGAAGGCAGCGGTGGACACGACGCTGACGGCGCCAGCCGTGTCGCCCTGGCCGTCCAGCTGACCATCAGTCACCTGGACCACGCGGTATGTCACCTGCAGGGGGCGGCAGAGCGACGAGACCGGCGCTGGGGCCCGGGCCGGGGTCAGGTCCGAGCCTCGTCCCAGACCGCCGCGCACCCGCCCTGGGCTCACCCCGCCACCGGCCCGCGGGCTCCCGGCCCGCTGCCGCCTCACCTGTCCTCCATTATTCTCTGTGCGGAACTGGTACTGGATGTTGTGGTCACCGAACGCCGCCTGCTGGACGCTGGCGATGGCCACCGCCGTCTGCTCCTCCGCCCCAGGGCCGTCCCCGCCTGCGGTCGGAGGAGGGCACGGGGGACGGTCGGCGGTCGCGCGGGGTCCGAGCACCCGAGGCCCTGCCCGGGCGCGGGCCGCAGCCCCAGTGGACCCGCAAGCACTCACCTTCCTGCAGCTCGACGCCCTCCTCGGCCTCGGGTCCCTTGTCGTGGCTGCGGGGACGACAGGAGGAAGAGGGGTCACGGTCAGGGCCGCCCGCACCCCCGCCCCCTCGCCCAGGTGCAGGGCCCCCGTCCCGCGCCGCCCAGGCTGGGGTCGGGGTCCCGCCGGAGCGGGGAGCCGGGGGCACTGGGCGTCGGTGCCCCCTCCCTCGCGGCCTCCATTTTGAGCCGGGCCGCCGGCCGCTCGGGATCATGGCGGCTCGGCCCACAGGCCGAGGGGGCCAGGACCCGGCGTGCGGGTCACCGGCTGGCCGGGCACTTGCTTACCTGGCGGCGGCAGCAGCAGTGGCCGAGGCAGCGGGATCCAGACCCGGGTCCAGCATGTCCATGGGGGGGGTGGGGGCGGGGGGGGCGCGGGGCCCGGGGGGGAGGGGAGGGGGGAGGGAGGGAGGGGAGGGGGCGGGCGGCCGGGGGGGGCCCCCGAGCCCGGCGCTCACGCCGCGCGGCAGGAGGGGACGGAGGAGACACGGGAGCCGCTCGCGCTGATCACGGGGACAAACAGTGGGGTCATGTGAGGAGGAGATGCCGCCGCCGCCGCCGCCGCTCCTGCAGCCGCCGCCTCCTCCTGCCGCCGCCGCCTCCGCCCGCCCGCGGCTCCCGGCGGCCCGAGGCTCCGGGACACTGCACGGCCGCCCCCCGCCCGCTGCACGCGGCCCTCGGGCCTCCTTCCCGGAGCAGCCGCCGCCGCGACTTTTTTTTTTTAACCCGGCCGGCCCTGGACGGCCAACGCCTCTTCCCCGGATCGTCGGCTCGCGCGCCCGCCGCCCGGCCTGCCCCGGTCCGGCGGCGGATCGGTGCTGCAGCCACCGCCGCTTTCTATTTTTTTTCCCCCTTTTTTTTTCCTCCTTTACTGGAGCTGCGCGCCGCGCGGCGGCGGCGGCGGCGGCGGCGGCGCGAGCCCGGGGCCGACGCGCGCGGGGAACGTGGCGCTCCCTTCAACACAGCAGCTTCTCGCGACCCCACCTCGCGTAGCAAAACAAACGCTCAGACTTAGATCTTGTGATTATAAATTTTATTAGACTTAAGAGGTGAAGATCTTCATCAAATTTAAAAAAAAAGTACAAAAGCTACATACAAAAACGTGAGATCAGACGACTAAACTTTCCCGACTCAGGGCCAAGTTCTGCAAGGGAAAAAGAAAGAAGGGAGTGTAAACTGGGCGGAGCAGCGGAGAGGCGCTGGGAAGGGTCTCAAGTCAGGGAGGGTCGCTAGCTCGCTCACCTTCTTAAGCCTCCGCTCCCTGGAGGCCTGGGAGTCAGTCTCGGAGTAGGGGGGAGGCGCGGGAGGGTAGTAGGCCTCCTCCTCCTCCTCCTCTTCCTCCCTGTAAGGTCTCCTCCTCTCCCCGGGCCCCCTTTTCTTCAAGGCCTCTTCTAGTAGCCGCCCATCATATTGGGGGTCCCCAAACCTGGAGCCATCCTCTCGAGGGTCCCGGGATCGGTGGTAGCGTGATCTGGGTCAGCATGAGGACGGTCCCTAGACCTGGAATCACTGTAGTGGGGATCTCTAGAGTGTGGAAAGTCCCTTGAGTCGTCTGGGTCATAGAGGTCATCACGGCTGCGGCTTCTGGGGGGTGCATAGGCCCGTCCTCTCCTCCCACTACTCGGGGGAGACCTCCTCCCCGACTCTGCAGAGCCCGGCCGGGTGAGGTCATCCAGAGCATCCACAGAGCGGGCCCGGGGCCTCCCGGCACCCCAGCCACTCCCTGGCTGCTCTGTGGGGGACTCCTGTTCCCATCTCCTAGGGCTCCGGGGGGAGTGGCGACCCCACTCCTCATCCCGGATTGGGGTGAGGGCAGGACCTCTGGAAGGCTTGGATCGCCAGTCGTCCTCATGGAGGGAGGTGACTTCACTCATGGCTGTAAGGAAGGCAGGGCGTTACTAAGTCTGAGACTAGAACTCAATGTCCAGAGTGTGAGGTCCAGATTTTTCACCCGCTGGCTGACCTACTGTGGCCCTGGGGCCACAGTAGGGAAGGAGGACTAGGTCCAAGATTTGCAGTAAGCATCCCTGGGCAGGTATAAAGGAGCCAATCCTTGTGCCCCCACCCCAAGACCCCAGGTCTGATGCTCACCCCGCTCCACGCGGCCATTGGGGGGCCCAGGTCGAGAGGGTCAAAGTTAGCAAGTTCCTTCTCCATGTAGTACAGGACCCGCATGGAGTCATCTTGTTGGCTGGCCTGAATCCTGTAGCCGCTACGGACTTCTAGGGACGGGGGTGACATGATTGGTTTGGGAGAATGGAAGCTGACCCAGCCCAAATCCACAGGCATGTCCACTGTCGGGGTGATGGATTCTTACCAGAGGTCACACTGCTGTCTGTGTCACGAAGCAGGGGTACCTGGGAGCTGTTGGCAACTGGAGGAGACTGGTTGTCAGTGTCATTCCCAGCCCCACCCACACTTTCCTCCAGTCCCAGTCCCACTCTACTGTCCAGGGCGAGTCCACCCTGGTCCCAGCTGTTCTGGCCCTTCCCTCCTCGGAGGCCTCACCTGAGCTGTTCCTGTCGAAGTCTCCAGGGTACCCATTGTAGACAGGGCCCATGGGAATCAGGGCTGGTGGTGGGGGCGGAGTCTTGGCAGGGGAGAGGTGGGCATAGGTGCTGTGGGCATAGATACTTGGGACACCTGAGGTGGCTGCTTTGCCAGCGGCGTACACTGGAAGGGCACAAAACGGCATGAGAACGTGACCAGGAGCCATGGCTGCCTATGCTATGATGGCTTCTGAAGGGACAATGGGCCTGTCTCCCCCCAGTGCACTCCAGTTCGGCAGTGCCCCTAAGGCTATAGGGGCATGAGCTTCCCTGAGCCCCCATCTCCTTTCAGAATAGGGGGTCACACTGGCAGCCCACAGCCCCAGTCTAACATTACAGTGGTTTTCCATGAATGGACAATCTAAAGGTTTTGTGTGACATTCTAACTCTCCAGCCACCTTCTCAAAATCCATGGGGTTGACCTGGGCCTTTGTGGTTTTAGGAGACAGTGGACAGCTCCTTTAGATAAAGCCCATTACTGAACCCACAAGGTGGAAACAGGTTTCCCCTCTCTAGACATGAGTCATCTGGGTGACAGGACCCCAGGCCTACTCCACTGTCATGCTTGCTGGGTCCTCCCCACTAGGTCACGTTCCAGAGCCAGAAGGAGTGAGTTGGAGACAGGCCAGTGGGGCCTCAGGAGTTAATCTGCCCGCCCTGGCCAAACAGCAAAATATCTCCTCCAATGTTTCCAACTGCTGGCCACACCCCACCCGCCCTCCGCTGTAAGCTTGACAGCTCAAGGGCAAATCCTTCCTTCTTCTCCAGCACAGGAGGATGGGTCCTGGTGGCTACTCCTTCAGCAAAGCTACTGGAGCCTAGGGAAGTCACTTCCCCCTTGGGACTCTACATGCTGAGCTGGGCTCCTGGCGCCACTGATTTTTTTCGGAAGTTGCAGACTTAAGTGCTCAGCTCTGCTCAGGAGAGAGCCCTTCATTAGTTCAGGTGACTTGCCATGTTCTAACGAGCAATCAAAGCTGCTTCTTCCTGGAGCAGCAGGAGTAACAGGGAGGGCCTCCCAGGGGACACGTGAGGCCTCTGGTAGGTGACAGGGTCTCAGGATGGCTTGGGGACAGGCACATCAAGTTTTCACCGCGGCCCCAGTCTTACTTGGTTAACTGCAAATTTCCAGATCTGTAAACTAGACTAACCCATCACCTGAGCCAAAACTCAGCTACAGATGATGAGTGCAGACAGGAAGGCCAGCGCCACCTGCACAGAACCATGACCATAGCCAAGCCCTGGCTAGCATGGTGGATGGAGCTGTGGCCCCGTCCTGGGCACTCTTTACTGACCTCCCTTACTGCTCACACCCCACACCCTTACCCTTTCCCCCCAGATATTAGGACACGAAGCTGACACTGTACTGACTGCTCACAGGTGGTCACACAGTGTGTGTGGCAGGGGCTCTCTGATCTGTGTCCTGGCCTGTTGTCATTACTGATTCTGACAGCAGCAATGAGTGACAGTAGGCGTGGAACATTTTGTACACGCTCAGCCCCACACTAAACACTGTGCACACAAGTTCACCAAATTCCCAGGCTCCCTCTGTGCCCGAAAGCCCCACCATCCAGAAGAGGAAACAGACAGGAAGAGGGAAGGCGCCCATGGCTTTGAGCAAGTCTTGAACCTGCACCTGTCCCCGCTTGTCACAAGAGTATTATCGCCTTGAACTGTATGCTAGGATGCTGATCCATACAACACCTTCCTGAAGGAAACCGAAGTACTGCCAGCAGCTGTCATCCCGAGTGGGCACTGGGGTAGGCTGGTGATGGGACAGAGACTCACTTTCCTCTTGTCTTTCCCTCTGCTTTGCATCTTTATTTTCTTTGCAGTATTGGGGTTTGAACTCAGGGCCAACACCTTGAGTCACTCTACCAGCCCATTTTTGTGATTTATTTATTTTTTTTCCCAAGATAGGGTCTCACAAGCTATTTGCCTAGGCTGGCTTTGAAACATGATCCTCCTGAGCTCTGCCTCCTGAGTAGCTAGGATTACAGGAGTGAGCCACTGGCACCTGGTTCCGATTTGCATCCTTGCCCCATCCTCCCTGCTCCTACTTTTGTTTCCAAACCCCCACAGGTCCCCCCCACCCCACCTCGGGTAAGCTAGGGATGTCCCTTAAAGGTAGGCTCCATGTGAAATGTATAGTACGTGTGTATGCAAACCTTGTTTGGTTTCTCAACTTTTCCACTTGAGATTTTGTTTTTAAAGGGAGCTTTGCTTTCTTGTGAATAATAGCTTAGACTGTTGGATATTTTCCTTTTCCCATTATACTCAAGAAAAAACTTACAATAAATGAAAGTTGATAATACATGACAATGTAAGTAGCAGTGCTCACCTCCTGACCCCCTGATCAGTGGCCCTGTACTAGGCGGCAGGAGGATAAGCCCAGCAGGGAGGCTGAGTTGGGTGGCAGGTGAGTGTACTTACAGGCCTCGGGGCAGCAGCACTTGTCTGGACAGCAGGGGCACCTGACGTAGCAGCAGCAGGTGTGGGGACAACACTGACACCAGCAGATGCCCAGGAGGAGGAAGACGAGGAAGCCAGCCAAGCATACCACGACCACGAAGAGCCAGTCTGTAGAGAGAAAAGGAAAGGCCCTGAGCTGGGAAACCTGGAAGGGATAGGGACAGACAGGCTGTGCAGGGACAGCCGAGCTGGCACTGGGGTGGGAGACTATGTGCAAAGCTGGTCCAAGAACCTGTAGCCCTTGCTAGATTCTCCACGACAGAGGGTTGCCACCTCTTACAACCCAGGCCAGTCCCCAACTTAGGGACCTCCCCCTGGGTTCTCATGGACAAGGCAGAAGACAGGAGGCAACCTAGCCAGAGCAAGACAGATGCAACCGTGGGGAAGGGAGAGAGCTGCAACCCAGACCCAACCCCCAAAGAACACAGTGGACAGGCGCCAGTCACTTGAGTCCCTGCCTGTACCCCAGGCCCCTCAACCAGCCGAGCCTATCCCAAGCCCAGATGCCTCGGAGTCAGGCGGGGTTAGTAGGGGTCCACGAGCAGTGATTAGGGGGCAGGGGGAATACCGGAGACAGAAGCAATGTTCCAGGGACTCCCGAGGGGAGCCCCAGTGAGGACTCTACCCCTCCCCCACCCCCGTACCTTCCATGGGCCCCGCCTGAAAATCAGGTAAGAGCTCAGTCACCTCTGAGGTCCTGCCTGGAGGGACAAAAGAGAAACAGGAGATTACACTGGCCAGAGCCAGCCCGGGCCACCCCCTACCCACCGAAATTGTGTGCTCAGCACTGGGCACTAAGCGGATCCTGGCACAAGGTGCCAGCCATCACCCACCTGCCCTCTGGCTCCATGACCCGCCCCCCCCAGCACATGTCCTACAGGATCCTCCCAGTTAGACCTCAGCCCGGGCACCCCACCTTTCCCACCTACATGGGTCCTAGTATCCCACAGAGTTCCAATCCAGGTAGTAGACACGGGGCCTGAAGGCCCACAGAAGTTTTGCTTTTGGTTTTAAAATCTTAAGAAAAAAATTATGAGTATATAATAACAGATTGTTTTTATAACAACACAGTATTTATTAAGTGGAAGACGGGGTCCATTTAACAAAACTACATATGCCCCATCAACTTATATGTGGTCCTGGTTCTGTGACCCATTATGACTCAACCCTCTTTTCATGCATCCTGTCACCTATGCATGTCACCTAGGCATGCTTCCTGACCTAGCTCGTGCCTTCCCTCAGGTGCCACGGGAGCTCTGTGCCCCGCAAGCATTCTATCAGGGGAGCTCACACTTACACATACAGCCTTATGTGCAAATTCTCCCTGTCTGTCTGTCTCACCAACACAGCTCCCTCCAGAGCTCACATGCCTCCATGAGGGGGCAGAGCATGCAAACCAGTGGTTCTCAACAGTGGTTTGACATGTGCCCTGTTCACCAGGCCAAGGTTCTCCAAAATGACACCAAGGCATTTTTTTCCTTTTCACCCTCTTCCTCTCAGGAGGGTACAGTGGGGTTTTCCAGGGGCTGAGCGACACGATGACATCACCTGTTATCACCTGATGTCTAATGAATTGTGCGCTTGTATGTCTTGTGATTTAAACTGTTCCCAGCTTGAGCTGGGTGTGGCCCACACCTGTAATTCCAGCACTCTGGGCCAGCCTTGGCTACACAAGTGAGTTCAAGGCCAGCCTGGACCTGGTATGGAGACCCTCCCTGTCTCAGAAAAAAATAAATCCCAGTTTCAATTTCTTTTTCTCTTTTTTTTTTTTTTTGGGGGGGGAGGGAAGTGGAGGAGGAGAGACAATTACTGTGGAATGAACTCAGGATCTCTTTTATCACTGATTATACACCCATTCTCCCAGTTTCAGTTCTTAATAGACAGAATCCAGAAAAACTTAACAAAAACTCCAAGATCCTCAATAATTTTTGTAGTGTAAACAGGCCCTGGGATGGAGTTCTGAGAACTGGCGCTGGTGAGTGCACTTCAGCTAAGGCTCCACGGCCACATGTGCATGGTCACCTGGGCATGATGGATGGCGTTGTACAGCCCGCAGCATCTCTCACGTACAACACCGCCACGCAGGACACGCTGACTTACAGCAGAGCACTGGGCCCGTGGCAGTGTCCGAGTACACACACAGAGGTCTCACGGGCACACCGGGACCCCATCCTACCCTGGCGTCTGGCATCTGTCTTGTTTTAGATGTACTCAAACTTTCACACTTGGTGAAAGCCACACAGTGCCAGCTCAGCAGCACAGAAAATACAGTCCTTGTGTTTGGGCAACGGGTTTGGGGGTGCACTGTGGCTCTGTGCACACGGTAGACAGTGGGTGAAGCCTCCTGTGAATTATACAGCGGGCCCCTCCCTATCTAGGCAGGATTGAAAAATGCATATGTATTTTTAAATGCATACTTTGAGCCAGGTGCTGGCGGCTAGGTACTTGAGAAGCTGAGATCAGGAAGACTGAGGTTCGAGGTCAACCTGGGCAGAAATCCAATCTTCAAAATCACCAGAGCAAAATGGACTAGAGGTGTGGCTCAAGTGGCAGAGTGCCTGCTTTGCAGACACACAGCCCTGAGTTCAAACCCCATTCACACCAAAAAAAAAAAGAAAAAAGCATTCCTCTTGTCTCGGCCTCTGAGTGCTGGGATTACAGTCCTGCCCCATCATATCCAGCAAAAAAATGTATCTTTTGCTTGCCATTAGTCCAAATAATACAGTGTAACTACTCTCTCTCAGCATTTACATTGTATAAGGTGTTAGAAAACCAGACAGGACTGAATGGAGCCCGGAGGGTTCTATGTAAATACTAAGCTATTTCATATACTGAACTTGAGTATCCTTGGCTGTGGCATCTGAGGTCCTGGAGCCAACCTCCCCCACCCCCGGTACCAAGGGATGACACACAATCAATAAACTTGGATTGCGTCTGTTTTTAAAAAGTGAGACTGGAAAAAGGTAGAGTCCCCAATTTTCTCCACTTAGTTTGGCTCTGGCTGACTTGAAACACCATAGTGGGAGGGGACCTTGCCTGGGGTGCAGGGCCCAGAAAAGCCCAAGTGACTGGCGGTGTCGTGAGGGGACAGCAAAGCAGGCAAGAAAGCCAGTGAGTAAGCTGAAGGGAAGATCGTAGACACACAGACATGGACAGAAGAAGGACCATTCCCACTTCCCTCTTCCAGAGCCCTCAAGGGCAGCCCTACTCACCAAGGACGATGAGCTCTGCATAGGCCTCGTTGTTCCCCTGGAGGTCCTGGGCCGAGACCACGGAGCAGTAATATACACCACTGTCCCCCCAGGCAGTCTGCTCAAAGGTCAGGTCAGCATCTGGGGCAGGAGGAAACAGAGTGAGGCACACAGGAGAGGGGGTGCTGGACCCCTGCAGGGCCTGAGCCTCCCCACCCCAGGCACAGGAGGGCATGACGGAGCCAGGCTGCAAATGAATCAAATGAAAAGTAAATCATTCTTGCCAAGGGCATGCCACTTTTATAGTGAAGACTGAACGAGGGGTATTTCAACAAGTCTGAGTGGTGGGCGCTGTTATCATCCTGTCCTATTGGTGCGACATCAGGGTGGGAAGAGCACCAAATGCACCTGAAGTTGTACAGGTCATGGATGACGAGTGGGATGGTCTGAGCTTTGCAACTTAGAACCACCCTTCCTGTGACCTCTCAAAGCCAAGGTCTCATCTCCTAGGCACAGAGGGTGCCTAGTCAGACCGGGGAATGGGTTCAACCAAGGAGGCAGAGCTAACTAGGTCAGATCCCAGATAGCAGGAGATGCCCAGCATGGTTGACAGTGGGTGTGATGTGTGGGAGACAGAGACCGATTCTCCCAGTTCCCAACTCCACCTCCTCCCTTTCGGTCCCCACATTCCAGGCCAGTCACAGAGCTTGGGGACGCTCTGGTCTAAAGCACCCTCAGGCAAGGAGCCTGCTAATTACACCACTAATGAAAGTCTTCCAGCACATCCGGTTTCCTCTCTATTCCTCAGGCCCTAATTAGTTAAATCACTTCAGCTAGCCACAAATGTGGGACACAGTAGCACCTGCTTGGTGATCTTGCCTCAGGTCCATGAGGGACAAGAACAAGCTAGAGATGAGCATCCCAACCGGGAGAGCCCACAGCGTCCTGGCCACTTTCCTCCCAGGTGCTTAGTTCCTGCTAACCTGCCTACATCTGGCCTCAGGCCCTTCTCTGTGACAGCCAAGAGCAGTGGTTACTGTGGTGGGTGTCCCACCTGCCCTTATTCCCCACCGGACCCTACTCACTGAGTGCTGAAGGGAGAACAGAGACCTCACGACCACAGGAAGACCCTCCTTTCCACATCTGTCACATTTCAAATATTCCTTGCCACACCGGCCTCATCCCCCCACCTCCTTTGCTACCAGGCTCCTGTTCTGTCTCTGCACTATTTCCTTTTAGACCCTATTAGGGCCTTGGGATGGAGGAGGGTCCCTGGGCCATCCCAAATTGCATGGCTCCCTGCTGAATGCTGCAGACTGTCACCCAGCTTCAGGTACTGACTGCCTATCTCTGCCCCTGTGAGACTGTGGCCTAAGTCTATCTTGGTCATTGCTGGCCTGACACAGGTCTGGGTGAGGAATAAGAACAGACTCCTCCTCTCCTCGTGCCAGCCTTCCTTAGCTTTTGTCATCTGTCCCAGCATTCCAGACACATGGTTACATTCAAACAGACACTGGATCCACTCACTCAACAAATAACTATTGACTGTATCTTCTGATCCAGGCAGGATTTGAGGCCCTGGTCTACTATGTTCTCAGAGTGTGCTCTGTGCACTGTGGGGTTCCCTGATTCTTTCCGGGGGGTCTATGGGCTGCACAACTTCCTAGCACAGTGCTGTCTTTTCCTTACTCTCTCATGAGTGTACTGTGTCACCTTCCAGAGGTAGGTGACATGAAAGCAGTATCACAACAGACTGAAGCAGCTTGGAGAATTCAGCCTCTTCTATTCAGACAGATTCGAAAAAATAGATGGAGGGGGTGAATCTAATCCAGATATTTTGTTGCCTGCCTTGTAAGCTTGAGGCCTCGAGTTCAAATCCCAGTACCACCACCACCAAAAAAAAAAGATATTTTGTAAGCACATATGTAAATGTCACATTGTCCCCCCTACAACTACTATATGTTAAAAATAACTTAAAAGACTTGTGAAAATAGAAAACAATGCCTCTTATCTCATTTAATTTTGCTTTGGGATTTGGAAAATATGGTTTTTTTCATTAAAAAATATGCTATTTTTGTAATGAGCTTATTATCAACATTTGAAATCATTTTTAAATTCACCTCAGTTTGTTAGCTACAAAACCAAAAGTTCTTTGATGTCCCCAATAATTAAGAGTACAAACAGGACTGGGCAAGGTGGCTCACGCCTATAATCTCAGTTACTCAGTAGTTCAAGGCCAGCCCAGGCAAAAAGTTAGCAAGACCTCTACCTCAACCGGACATGGTGACGTGCCAGTGAGCCCAGCTGTGTAGGAGGTGTAGGGAGGAGGATCAAGGTCTGAGCCAAGCCCCAGGCAGAAAACCTGAGACCCTATCTGAAAAACAACTAAGGAAAAAAAAGGCTGGGGTGTGGCTCAAACAGTGGAGCGCCCGCCTACCAAGTGCAAGGCCCTGAGTTCAAGCCCCAGTACACCAAATAAAAAATAAATAAGCATAAAGATGCCCCAAGACCACCTGTTTGAGAAATACTGCTATGGGCTATACAAAATGTGTTCTTCTACAGTTTGGATTCTAACTAGGAAGAGAGATAAATAGAAACAGAACTGCTATGCCTATCAGACGGTGGTGATAAGCACTGTGGAGCAAATGAACCAGGAAGGGTGTCAGAAAGTACCAGGCATGGAGTGGGGGCTGTGCAGCTGTGAATAAGGAGGCCAGGGAAGTCCTGATCCCTAGAGGTGACTTTCAGAGCAGACATGGAGGATGCCTCCAGGACCAGGTACCTAGCCACTGTTAACTGAGCTGGGCGGGGGCTGGTGGAGTGGCCCAAGTGGTAGAGCCTGCCTAGTAAGTGCGAGGCCATGAGTTCAAGCCCCAGGACAGCAAAAACCCAAAACAAAACCATAAAAATTCATCATGAGGTGGGTGGACCCCTTTGTACATAGCCATTCTTTCACTGAATCCTTAAGAACTCTAACCTAGACTATCGTAAATACTACAAATGTTTCCTCAAAGTGTCCCATCATTTCCCATCTGTGTCTCTGAGACTCACCAGCAGATCCCGGATGCTAAGAATGGGACACCCACGCTTACTGGTATCATCTGTCCTGGAGGACAGCATTGGGCATATGCTATGCTGGGAGGTAGGCAGGTCAGTGGGAACCCAGTGGTTGGGAAGAAAGTGGGTGTGATGCTGTGGGCTCTCCTGATCGGGATGGTCCTTTCTAGCCTGTTCCTTCCCCATGGGGGTGGGGGAGATGGCAGGGCTGTCAATATATTCTGGCCATGCCTCTGCAACACCAGAGCTAAGGAGGTGGACCCCCCCTCAAAGCTGAAAAGGTGGACAGGGGTCCCCTGCCATGACAATCAATTACATAGGTCAGACACTGAAACCTGGGTCTCCAGGGCCCTATCTGGACCTTGCAGTGTTTTGTTTGGCCTGCATGATGTTTTCAAAATCCATGAAAAATAGGGCTTTCTGGCTTCTTTTGATCAATCCTGAGGCCTGGGCCCACCTCCTTCCTGCAAGGCACACCCTATCCCTGGTCCCTGGTTGCCCTGAGATCATGGGGGCTGGGCAGTTTTTTTGGGTACAGGGAAAAGATGCTGGGCTCCAGCAAGAGCAGAAGTTGTCCTCTATAACTCTGGCCTCTGGCTCCTAATCTACACAGAGCAGAGGTGAGCCTCATAATTTTAGAAGACTCAGTACTGCTGAAAGTGGGGGACACATGGTCCCCAGCAGCCCGAGAAAGTAGAAACAGACTCTGATGCAGGCACCTTCACATCACCCAATGCAGTGTCAACAGAAGGGGGGCCAGGATCCACTCTGAGCGGAGGACACCTAGCTTTCACAGAATTACTTTCATTCCTAAAGCCAGGATGGTTGGTGATCCTAGAGATACCATCAAGAAATCCACTTCTCCCTGTCCTCAAAGCTGAAGTGGCGGAAACTCCCATGGTGACCAGGTTTCCTGAAAGGACACAGACACAATGACCACTTAACCATGGCCTATATCCCAGCTCAAGTCAAGGCCCAGGCCTTCCAGGCCTCTGGAACAATCCAGACTAAGTGTCATTCTGGAGTTCTGTGCCCAGTATAAGAGATCTGGTACCAGTCAGTCTTTAAGAGCACTCTCTGTATTTGGGTTGTCCTGACAGGGGCTGGGCAGTCATGCCTGATCTAGGCAGAGTGGCCCCCAGGTGAACCCCACAGAGCTCTCCGACCTGCTGCACAGCAGGACACATCAGGCCGAGCTGCTGTGGAGACTCAGGTCAAGTCTGGTCCCTAACTTGAAACAGAACTGAGGGCTTGCCTTTGATCTGCAATCTGACAGCGTGGGAGAAGGAGCTTATTCCAAGGCCTGGTCTCTTGGGGTCTTCAGAGGGATCCTCCCTCCCCCTTCAGCCCTCATGCCCAGGGTTAAGACTAACCCTTCTTCAAGGCAGTGAAAGGACCCATCCCTTACCTGGGGGAGCCCTCATTCCTGGCCCACTGCTATCCTCTGGATTCTTGAAGGCCTGGTCCCATCACACTGGCAGGGGTGTAAGGAGGACGTATCACTTAGCACTATCTGAAATTCTCTTATTCATTCTAAATCTGCCTTTTACTGCCAGTCAGGTCCTTAGCATGTCAGCTGTTTTGATCTCTGCTGTATTCCCAGCATCTATGACAGCACGGAGGAGATGCTTGATAAACACCAAATGAATGAACAGACGACATCCCCACTGCCCCTTAATTAATCCAACAGGCACCTGCTGTCAGGAGGCAGCACTGCGGTTTGCAAGGACTCTTGGGCTGAACCAGATTTGGATCTTTACAACCTGTGCACCTGAACAGCCACTTAGCTCATCTACACCTCCTGTTGTTGGGAGAATGTGTGGGAAGTACCGGCAAGTGGTAGGCTTCCTCCATTAAAATCACTTGCCCCTTGGGTTCACTCAGGTCACCTCCCTGTGAGTCCTGAACAATCAAAGGGGTTTGGAGCTTGGAGATCGGGCCCAAAGTGTCCGAGTTGGAACCTAATTATTACCAATTACAGCCGGGTGCCAGTGGCTCACATCTGTAATCCTACCTACTTGGGAGGCTAAGATCCAGAGGATTAAGGTTGGACAAATAGTTCACACGACCCCATCTCCAAAATAACCAGAGCAAAATGAATGGACTGGAGGTGTGGTTCAAGCAGTAGAGCACCTATTTTGCAAGCTCAAAGCCCTGAATTCAAACCCAGTCCCATCAAAAAAACAAAACAAAAACAAAAGAAAAGCTATTACCAGCTGTATAACACACAGCTCTGTAAAACGACAATAGAATGAACAGAAGGGACTTAAATTACTGTGTGGTCTAAATGAGTCAATCCAAGTAAACCTGGCTCACAGCCTGGCACACGGGAGGGCATTTATAAGCTGTTACCTCCTTAAAATTTACTTTTTTTTGAGACAGGGTTTGCTGTGTAGTAGCCCAGCTGGCCTTGAGCTCATGATCCTCCTGCCTGTGCCTCCTGATTGCTGGGATTTACACCACAACATGGCAGCTTAAAGTCTACTTCTTATTGCTGGCATTATTAGTATTATAGGATAAACCCCTGGCTCTCTCTCCATCTCTCTCTCCATTACCCAGTTTCCTTTATCTGCAAGAACCTGACTGCCTATGTTGTGAACTCCATGGAGGAAGTGATTTGAGGGCTGTGTATTCTGCTATGCTCCTGGGACTTACAGTAGCATCTGGACTATGGCAGATGTGCAATGAATCTGGGCTGTGAGATAAAGGGATGGATGGATGGATGGATAGGTGGAAGGAAGGATCCCTCCCTTCATTGGTCCATTCAGACAATGGTGCTCAAGAGATTCCAGGCTGGGAACTAGAGAGCAATCACCGACTCCCAACCCCCCCGCAAGCCAGCCTCCTTGGTCCCCTAGCCCCACATACTTCCTGTGATTGTGATCCTCCGGCCCTGATAGTAGTCTCCCAGGGTCACAGCATTGCCCTGCTTGGTGGCCACCACCCTTACGGTGCGCACACTGTCCTGGCACTCTACATAGGGGTTGTAGCCAGGGTTGCCAGCTGCCAGCTGGGCATTGATCTGGTTGTCCACACTGGCTGGGGAGAAGGCATCGGCGATGCGATCCCGGCAGAAAGACTTGTACTTCCAGATTACAATGGGTGCCGTGAGGGTGGAAGTCATCTGGTAGGTGCAGGGCAAGGTCACAGGCTGGAACAGAATCACCACATGGTAGGGGTCTGACACGGTCACCTGGATGGTGCTGGCAGGAGCTGAGGGCAAGAGCAGAGTCAGAAGGGACCGCTGTGAGCTCAGGAAGTAGTTTAATGGGTAAGTAATATGCTTGTCACCAGCTTGACACTTACAAAGCTATGGTTTTCCAGAGCACCTGCCCCACATTGTTCCTTAATCCTCAGGAGTGGTGGGGGCAGTTCCTATAATCATGCCTATTTCATAGACCCATGGGGCTGGAAAGTGACATGTTGGAGGCCACTACATTCCTGAATGTCCTATCCATGTGTCCTCCCAGACTGTGGCCTCTGAACCACCCCAGTCCCCTCTTCCCTTCACCCTTCTCTCACAGAAAGAAGGTCTCTCTGAGGTTTGGTATGGCAGGCTGGCTTCCTCAGAGTATTCACCCCCACCCCAGCATCTCCATCAGTTTCCCATTATGCCCTACCCAAAACCGCCTCAAATGGACACTCAAAAGTGTTTGCCAAAAGATAACGCCCCATCGTCCCCACTGGTGCCAACATCCTATCCAGATGTGACTGGCCCGCGGAAGACGGTTTCAGGTCCATAAGTCCATCCTACCAACCTCTTACGCATAGAAACCGCGGAGCCCGCGGAAGGTGGGTGGGGTTGGGGGTGGGGAGTCCTCAGTCCTACACCCACTCGAAGCCTGGCCACTGATTCTCGATCTCTTCCTCCTGGGAACATCGAGTGCCCTCTCCCCGTTACCCCAACACTTAAAGATCTCGGGGTGCGCCCAAGACCCCATGCCAGCCTTTTCCGTGATCGGGTACTCCTCACCCCTGCCCCACAAAGGGTTCCCTTTTCCCTGCGCTCCGGGCTTAAGATCCCGGGAGTTTCACTTCCTGTTACCTCCCAACAAGGGCGGCGGGGAGCGCTGCGCGAGTTAGATGGCGGGGGGTCCCCTCACTGAAGCACACAGGGGTCTCCCACCTGTGTTGGATCCGGAGGTCCCAAGCCTCTGTGCCCTCCCACCCTCAGCCCCTTGTTCTCCGGCCTCCTGGGCGGCTGAGAACTGTGTCCATCCCCCTTCTGCAGCGCCTTCCCGCTGATCCACAGTCCCCGAGGCCCGAACCCCGTACCTATGCAACAGGTGCTGAGAAGGAGCCACACGAAGACAAGCGTCGCCGGGTGGAAGCCGGGCCCCCAGGAATCTGCACAGGCCGCCGGCGCCATCGCGGCCATCTGGGCGCGTCGGGCCCGCGCGTCCCCTCCCAAGTACCCTGAGAGTAGGGGGCGCGGCGAGCGTCAAGGCAGGGAGGGGCGCACGCTCCTCCCCTTCCCGCTTCCGTCCCTCGTCCCTGTGCCAAGCCCTTCTTGCCGCACTCCAGGAGTTTGCACCAAGAGCAGCAGCGTGGATGGGGCGCACACTTCTAGCTTGGGGGGAGAAACTTGCTTGTCCCACTGCGACTCTCCAAGTCACTCCACCCCCGGCGCGCTCCGGGAAATGGATCGGCCCAGGTACACAAGGGTGGGAGCCCGGGACTGGGCTTGGGGGTGGGCGGCAGGGTGGAGCTCCTCCGCCTCCCTCCCCGGAAGTGGGCTGGTCCAGGTGCGCTCCTGCCCTCCCCCCCCAGGGCCGGAACCAAGTGACCGGCTCGCCAGGAGGGTGCCCGCCAACCACGGGTCCCGTCCAGCTCCCTGTTGCCCCAGCCAGGACGGGCGAACCGAGATCCACAAGAACCAAGGCGCACTTGGGGTGATTCACCTGCCGACAGGGGCGGGTGCTTCTGAGCACCTGTTCCCAGTCTGTCCACACCCCTCTCCGGTCCGGCGATGGACCCGCCTAGGTGCGCCCTGCAGGGAGGGGCGAGTCGAGCCCGGCTGGAAGAGGCGGGTCGTAGCTCCTGACTACCATTGACACCCGCGGGGGAGGCGCAGAGGCTTCTTGTTCCTTCCCGTGAGCTGAATTAAAAGAATCAAGTGAGGTCCCCCCTAGAGAAACTCTGATCCCCCCGGGGATGCCCGTGGGGACTCAGACCCTGAAAAAGTTGGCGTTTACTTGGGGAGTTTTCCGCCACCTCCCCCTCTCCTTCCCAGCACGTGGTTCGGCCCCCGGGCATCCCTTGCCCCAGGTCAGGCCTCCGGAAACTCTGGTTCTTAAAGGGACCAAGGGAAGGCGCGAGACCTGTGCAAGTTCCCAGGGACCAAGCCACCTGTGCCTGTCCCGGCGCTGCAAGTTGCCTGAGTGGCTCTCGGCGCGACTCTGCTGCCCCCCGGTGGGGACGAGGGGTCGCGCACCCTGGAGAACACCTGGAGCCTCCTCCCTTCAGACTTGAGTTTGCAAACTGGCCACTGACGGGTGGGCTCGGTATCCAGGCATGGTTGGTTTTATAGCGTCCTGTAAAACTCAAGTCACATCACGTCTCTCCGCCCAGTACTTACAGCGGCTTGTTAGTCCCTCCCTGATTTCACCTCCTCTCACTCTTGTCTGGCTTCACCTTCAGCCACACTGGCCCCCTCTCTTGTCCCTGGATCTGCCTCTTTCATTCCCACCTCGGGGACATTGCCTGCCCTTTTACTCTGCCAGAACAGCCTTTCCGCAGGCAGTAACCTGCTCCTCTCCTTCCCCGGGGCTTTACCCAAAAGGCACCTTCACAGTGACACTTTTCCTGATCACTTATAAAATTTCAACACCTTCACTTACCGCTTCAAAAAAAAAAAATTATGTAAAAATACCTACCATAAGGCCAAGGGCCATTGCTCACTGTTGTAATCCCAGCTACATGGGAGGTGGAGATCTGGAGGATGGAGATTGGAGACCAGCCCAGGCAAAAAGCTCTCAGTACCCCCATCTCAGCCATTACTTGGGTGTGTGTGGTGGCACGTGCCTGTTATCCCAGAAACTCCGGGAATCATAATAGGAGGATCCAGGTTCAGGCCAGCCCTGGCAGAAAGCAAGACCTATCTCAAAAGTTACCAAAGCAAAAAAGGGCTGGGGGTGTGGCTTAAGTGGTAGAGTGCCTCCTTAGCAAGCAAGAGGCCCTGAGTTCAAACCCGCGTACCACCCCGGTACCTACCATAACGCACGTTATCTTTTTAACCATTTGTAAGGGTAAATTTCAAGCGGCATTTTTTACATTCACAGTGTTGTATACAGCCCTTTTCATTGGAACGTAAATTGCTGTTCCAGTTCAGCAATAATCTCCCATTCCCCCGGTCCTGCCCCCGGCAACTTCTGCTTTGTGGCTATCAAATTGTTCATTCTAGATGCCTCAAAGAAGTGGGATCATACGTACCTCTGTCCCTGTGTGTCTGGCTTATTTCACTAAGAATAGTGTTTTCATCGTCCATCTGTGTGGTTACCACACACCAGAATCAAAATTTCATTGCTTCTATGGTTGAATTGACAGCATGTTGAGTGTTTAGTTCTGGGTTCTCTGTTCTATTGCGTTAGTTCATATGTCTGTCCTTACACCAGTACCACACTGGGTTTTTTCTGGTGGGACTGGAGTTTGAACTCAGGGCTTCGAACTGGCAAAGCAGGTGCTCTACTGCTTCTTCCAGTCCCACCACACTGTTTTACTACTGCAGCTTTATCGTTGTGAGTCCTCAAACTTTATTTTCTTTTCAAGATGATTGTGACTACTCGGGGCTCCTGCGATTGCATTTGAATTTGAGGACCTGCTTCCATGTTTGGAATTTTGGTAGCCGTGAGATGCATCACTACACCATTTTGACCTCTTAACACTGTGTCATCCTTTAGAGGAACACAGGGTGTCTTTCCCCTCTGTTAGCATCCTTTCATAATTTTCAGTGTACAAGTCTTTCACCTCTTGGTTGGACTTATTTCTTTTAGAGCTTTTGTGCATTGAAATTGTTTTCTTGATTTCCTGTTCAGACTGTTCGATGCTGGTACAGTATAGAAACACTACTGATTTTCATGTGTGGACCTTGTACCCTGCCTAATTCATTTATTCACTCCACTAGCTGTCTTTTGGATTTTCTACACATAGGATCATGATATCTGTGCCCAGAGATCGTTTTACCTCTTCCTTTTCTTTTTCTTTTTTTTTTTTTTTTACCTTTACCTTTTCTTTTCTTTTTGTTTCTGTTTCTTGACTGATAGTTCTAGGTGGAACTTCCCAGAATAACTGTGGAAAAAGGGAGCATCCTCATTTTGCTCCCCGTCTTAGGAACTCAAGTCTCTCATCCTTGAGTAGGGCGTTAGCTGTGGGTGTTTCATAAGCGCCTTTGACACATTGAGGAATTCCCCTCTTATTGTCAGTTTTCTAAGGGCTTTAATCATGAAAGGGTGTTAGATTTTGTTAAATATATTTTCTTCATCAGTGGAGTGAATTGTGTGTGATTTTTCCCTTCATTCTATTAATGAAGGAAAAATGTAGAATTCCATGTTGATTGATTTTCTTATGTTGAACCACACTTGTATTCCTGCATAAACCTCACTTGGTCATAATGAATAATCCTTTTAATAAACTATTGTATTCAATATGGTAATATTTTCTTGAGGTCTTTTGTATCCACCTATAATTTTTTTTTTTTAGTGATGTCTTTATTTGGCTTTAGTTCTAGGGTAATGCTAGCTCCATAGAATTGTTTACTTCTCATTTTTGTTAAGAGTGTGAGGGGGGATTCTTATTTAAATGTTTGGTCAAAGTCATGTAGTCTAGGACTTTTCTTTGCTGGGAGATTTTAAATTAGTCCGCTCTCTTTACTTGTTGTAGGGCTATTGAGACTTCCTATTTTTTCTTGACACAATTTGTATAGATGTGCGTTTCAAGGCATTGTCTTTATTATCTAATTTACTGGTATGTAATTGTTCAGAGTATTCTGTTTTCATCCTTTTTATTTCTGTATGGCTGTTAGTAATGGTGTCACTTTCATTTTGGGTTTTAGTTCCTTGTGTCTTCCCTCTTTTGTTCTTTGTCAGTCTAGCTAAAGATTAAAAAACTGAATTTTGCTTTTGTGAAGTTTTTCTCTACTCTTTTCCCTATTTTATTTGTCTCTGCTCTAATCTTTGTTATTCCTTTCCCTCTACTAGTCTTGGGTTTTGTTTGCTCTACTTTTTCTAGTAACTTTAGGTGTGAGGTCTTGGTGGGCTCCTCTAATCCAGCTACTCAGGAGGCAGAGACCAGGGGGATGGTGGTTTGAAGTCAGCTGAGGCAAATAGTTCCCGAGACCTTACCTTGAAAAACACCCATCACAAAAAAGGATTGGTGGAGTGGCTCAAGGTGAAGGCCCTGAGTTCAAAACCCAGTACTGCAAAAAATAAAAACAAACAAACAAACAAAAAAACATGAGAGCTTTCTTCTTTTTCTAGCTTGAACATTAGCAGCTATAAATTTCCCTCTGAGCACTGCTTTGACTGCATCCCATAAGTTTTGGCATGTTGTGTTTTTGTTTTCATTTTTCTCTTAGGTATCTTCTAGTTTCCTTGGTGATTTCTTTTGACCTAATGGTTGTTTAGGAGAGGCATGTTTAATTTCCAGTTTTTCTTCTGCTACTGATTTCTCATTTCCTCACGTGGTCAGGGAAGATACACTGTATGACAGCTGTCTTTCAAAATTTCAGGGCTTTGTGGCTCACTGCTGATTTGTGTACTTCTCTCTTGCTGCTCTCCTAGAGAACGCCCCGTGCCCTGTGTTCTGTCATTGTCAGGTAGCATGTAACGCACTGGGGATGGAACTCACTCTGCGAGTGTCCTGTGTGTGTTTGTTAGCTCTGGGTAGTGTATTGTGTTTCTTCAAGCCCTTTATATCCTTAAGTATCCTCTGTTTGTTATATCCGTTATTAAAAGTGAGATAGTAAAATCTCCAGCCTTTTTGACTCTGGTAAACTTCATAGTTTGAAGTCTTTTATCAATTGTGTAAATATTTGTAATTGTTATTTTTTCTTGCTGTATTGCACTTGTTAATATATAACGTCTCCCTTTGCCTTTTGTGAGCTTTTTTCTTTCAAGTCTACTTTGTCTAATGTCTGCATGCCCGCTCCAGCTCTCCATATGCACAGAAAATTCTTTTCCAAACCTTTCACTTATGGTATATCTGTGTCTTTGGATTTAAGTGAATCTCTTGTAGATAGAACATAGTTGGATCATTTTTTAATCCATTCTTCCAACCTCTATTTTTGGATTTAATGAAATTAATATAAGAAGGGACCTCTGTCATTTGGCTACTTATTTTGTGTGTGCCGTGTAGTTTGTTTCTTTTTAATTATTTTTGTTCATCTTTTGCACATTACTACCTTTGTTCATGTTTACTTTATTGTTTTGGTAATAAAATGTTTTAACTCCCTTCTCATTTCCAATTTGTGTGTGTGTGTGTGTGTGTGTGTGTGTGTGTGTGTGGTGCTGGGGCTTGAACTCAGGGCCTACATCTTGAGCCATTCCACCAGCCCTTTTTGTGTGTGTGTGTGTCATGGGTTTTTTCCAAGATAGGGTCCTCCAAACTAGTTGCCCCGACTGTCTTCAAATCTCGATCCTCCTGATCTCGAGTAGCTAGGATTACAGTGTGAGCCACTGGCGCCCTGCTTTGTATGTTCTATAGATTTTTTGTGGTTAACATAGAAATCACATTGCATATAGCAGCCTAAAGTTGTAACCCTCCAATTTGAATTTATACCAGCTGAAATTCAATTGCATGTAAAAACTTGCTCCTGGCCAGAAAAGGTGGCTCAAGTCTGTAATCCCAGCTACTCAGGAGTTGGAGATTGTGAGGACTGTGGTTAGAGACCATCCCAGGGAAAAAGCTCATGAGATCCCATCTCAACCAATAAGAGTTTATGTGGTGGTGCACACACGTCATCCCAGTTTGCAAGGAAGCATAAAAAGGAGGTCCGGCTGGCCCTGGGAATAAAGCCAGATCCGATTCCAAAAATAAATGATGCAAAAAAGACTGGGGGTGTGGCTTAAGTGGTAGAGCACCTGCCTAGCATGGAAAGGCCCTGAGTCCCTGAGTTCAACTCCCAGTACTGCAAAAAACAAACAAACAGAAAAACAAAACAACCTCTTGCTCTCCCAATAATAAAGATTAAAAATTATTTGTGAATTTTCTTTTATATCATGTTAGCAATCAAAAATTAAATTACAGAAGTAAAATTACAATGAATTAGCTTTTTATGGTTTTCTTTCTTTTTTTTTTTTTGGTGGGCTCTAGCATTTGAACTCAGGGCCTCACACTTGCTAGGCAGGCACTCTACCACTTGAGCCACTCCACCAGACCTTTTTTGTGTTGGGTATTTTTGAGATAGGGTCTCTTGAACTGTTTGCCTGGACTGGCTTTGCACCGTGATCCTCCTGATCTCTGCCTCCTGAGTAGCTAGGATTACAGGTGTGAGCTATCAGCGCCTGGCCCTTTAACATTTATTGCAGGGCAGTTCTGCTGGTAACAAAGTCTTTCAGCTTTTGTTTATCTGAGCATGTCTTAATTTCTCCCTGACTATTGGAGGCTACATTTTTGGTTACAGAAGTTTTGGTTGACATATTTTTCCCATTTCAGCATTTTTGTTGTTGTTGTTTTGGTGGGACTGAGGTTTGAACTCAGGACTTTGTGCTTGCAAAGCAGGTGCCCTATTGCTTGAGCTACACCTCTAGTCACTTTTGTCATTTTTTTATGGATCAACTCACTGCCTTCTGGCTTGCAAGGATTGGGAAGAGAAATTTGCTAATCATCATATGAGGACCCCTTAATGTGACAAGTAGCTTCTCCCTTTCTGTTGCCACAATCGTGTCTCCATCTTTGGTGTCTGGCCAGTTAATTGTAATTATGTCTCAGTGAGGATCTCTTTGGGTTTTCCTACCTCCCAAAAAGCATTGAGCTTTTTGATGACATGAACTAAATTGTACTCCTTGAGGCACTTTGGACCAAAGTCCATTCTACTGCCCAGGGCTGATGCAAGAGTTCTGTGATGTCACAATGCCCCGGAGGTTCCCAGACTCCTTCTGTAGTCTTGCTCTGCCATGTTGGCCACACTGTGCCTGGTTGGCCTTTCTTTCCCCACTCTGTGGGCCCAGATGTTAATTAGCTGTTCCTATAAGAATCTCTGCCAAAAAGCCCTCCTCTCGGGAAATGACGTTGTCCTGCGGTGCGACCATGGCCACACACAGTGGCATTTCACTTCCATTCTGGGGGATGAGCTCTTCTTGTTCAACTCAGTGCCTAACATAGAGACTCTGCCTGGAGGGAGCCTGAAGTTGGTCAACCCTCAGCCCTCCCAGACGGGCCTCTATCGCTGCCAGAAAAATGACAATACTCGTATTGTGGAATATGAAATTGACTTCCAGGATGTCAAGAACCTGCATATCACACACACAGGCCTGGACCAAAAGCCCCTGCCGAACGAGACCCTGAACCTGGGTGGTATGGTGCTGGTCTTCACCCAGTGGGACCCCTGGCAAGACTGTAACCGCTGTGGGGTGCCTGGTGAGCGCAAACGTCTGGGCTACTGCTATGTGGAGGAGCCCCCCGAAGAGCCCCTGGCCTGTGGGCTCTATCTGAGGGAGGAGGAGATGCTGCACAGCCGCCTGCGGCCAGAGCTGCAGCTGGAAGCCTGCCTGGTACCCTGTGAACACGACAAGGAAATCCACCAGCCATTCTTCATCTTTGACACCTACCAGCTGGGCAAGTCGACCAGCAACATGTGGATCACCTGCCCTTTGGCCTCCATCTACAGGTGACCCTCACCTGGGCTGGGGGTTTGCCTCCAAGAGAAAATCGGGCTCTTTCTCCCGGCCCATAACCCCCTCACTGTCACTCTAGGTGACTGCTGAGCAGTGGTTCCTTCAGCAAGAATTCCCTCATGCTGCCTCTGAGCCGGGCCTGGGTAGGTGATGCTGGGGACACAATGGTGACTAAAACAGACCTAGACCCTGCCCATGCTAATGTAAAATCTAGAAACTAAGTCGCACAGGCCTGTGCCAACACAGACACCGTGTGGCTTCCGTTTCCATTTGGACCCTGTGTGGCATCCTTGCACTGATGCAGTTGATAGTAACAGTCCGTTAGCGCCTTCCCAGTAAGTTCTGACATCCGGTAGCAAATATTTTCCAACTTCGTTCTTCAGCATTACTTTGCTTATTCTTGGCCCGTTATATAAAATTTTGGAGATCAGTTCGTAGTTTCCGAGATCTCTTTAAGATTGGCATTTTATTTTATCTAAGGATAAGTCCTGAGAGACAAGGTAAACGCTGTCATTATTTAGTCTTTTTTTTCCCCTTGGTACTGGGGTTTGAACTCAGGGCTTCACACTTGCTAGGCAGGTGCTCTACCACTTGAGCCACTCCACCAGCCCTAAATTGTCTCCTTTCAATTTCATTGTCTGATTCTTTGTTACTGGTGCTTACATTATATTTGATATTTGTTTATAACCTGGTAGGTAGCAAAGTTACTTTGCTAAATATTTGCTGTTTATTTTTTAGTACAGCAGGCATGCTTATCTCACTCTTAACTTTCCACTACTAAATACAATTTTTCTCTAGGCTTTTGATAGAAAATTCCCTTTTGTTAGTATTCCGTGCCAGTGTGAAGTGTTGTGGGCCAGTGTCAAGGGTCCTTGCCTTCACGGGCCAGAGAACTGGCTCGTGAGGCAGTTGATTGATTTTTCCTATTTGTATAGGAAGTAGGATTTATTAGAGAGAAAGCAAAGGCTACAGCTAGAGCAGAGCCGCAGAGCCCGGAAACCGGTAGCTTGCTGCTCAGGTGAGACTGGGGCTTTAATGGACGTTTGAACTCTGGATTAGATGGGCTGTTTTCATTGGCCATGGATTCACAGGCTTTCTTATGTGAACTGGTCTGTTTGCCCCTTATTGGGAGGAGGGGGACAATCTTGAGAGCATTTTGCTCAGCAGCCCTGTGTCAGATCTATGAGACCCTGCATCTCCTCTTTGGGATGCAGGAATGCAGATTTACAGCTCCTTCTCAGGATGCAGGAATCACAGTGCTGTCCAGGGGGATGGGATTCACTCACCTGCCTGATTGTTGTTCAAATTTAGACGCAGAGTTGCCTGGCGTCCACTTCGTTTAGTCATGATCGTCATCCTTTTCTTTGTCTGTTTTTAATCACTAGAATCAGTTTGCAGGTATTTTCCTCAGGACCTTGTGCCTGTGTGTGAAGCCCTGGTTTAGGTATCAGGGTGACACAGGCCTCACAGAAGTTCAGAAGTGTCCCATCTTTCTCTGTTTTGGGAAATGTATTGTAAGATTGATGTCATTTATTTGGAAGCACACACTGGCGACAGTTTCTGGGCTTAGAGAGGTTTTGTACATGTTTTAAATTACCGATTCAGATGCTTTAATTGTAAATATACAACCACCTTGTATTATTGACTTTTTCATGAATTTGCCCATTTCATCTAAGTTTTTAGACATTTTGGCTCAAAGTGGTAATATCCTTTCGTTATCTTTTTGTTGCTGTGTTCACGGTGCTGGGGACTGAAGCAGGGCCTGGTGCATGCTAGGCAAGCACTCTTACCACTAAGCTACATCCCTGGCCCTTGGTTTTTGAGATAAGCTCTTGCTCTGTAGCTCTCACAGAGGTGCTTCTCCTGCTGGGATTACAGGCATGCACCACCATGCCACCTCCTTTCATAATCTTCTTATGCCCACAGGAGCCACAGCAACATCTCTTTTTTCACTACTGATATTATTAATTATTTAGGTTTTCTGCCTTCTTTCTTTTTTTTTTTTTGGCAGTACTGGGCTTTCAACTCAGGGCCTCATGCTTGCCAGGCAGGCACTCTACCACTTGAGCCACTCCACCAGCACTGTTTTGTGTTGAGTAATTTTTAGATAGGACCTCCTGAATTACTTTCCTGGGCTGGCCTCAAACAGTGATCTTCCTGATCTCTGCCTCCTGAGTAGCTAGGATTACAGGCATGAGGAACTGGTGCCTGGCTCTCACTTTTTTCTTGATCAGTCTTGTTAGGTCTTTATTAATATTGCTTATCCTTTCAAAGAATTTTGGATTTGTCAATTTATTTCATAGACTTTTTGTTTTCTAGTTCACTGACTCTTGGTTTTTATTATTTCCCTTTCCTGTATGTTTTCAGTTAAGTTTGTTGTTATAACTTCTTGAGATGTTTGCTGACATCACTCGTTTCCATCCTGTTCCTTTAAGTATGTATTTAGGTTGTAAATTTCACAAGCACAACTCGAGTTTTCATAAGTTCTATTTTTATTTTTAGTCACTTAATAACACTGTTTTCAATTGTGATTTCTCTTCTGACCCATTAGTTATTTGGTCACTATGTTGAATAATTTTTGGATATCTAGGAAAATTCTTATCTTTTTGTTAATTATGTCCTATTTAATTACACTGATCCAAAAGTATGAGTCACTTCTTTTAACATTGTTGAGCCTTCGTTTATGGCCTGGAATATGGTGATCTGAAGCAAATGTGTCACACAGGTGTGAAGTGCACTGTTGAATTCAGTGTTCTGGGTCATTTATTCCTTTATCATGCAGTCAGATTTCCTATGTCTCTGCTAAGTGCGTGTTGTCCATCTAGCACTAAGAAGTGCATATTCAAATTTCCAGTCAGGATGTAGATTAATCTGTTTCAACACTTGCAACTATCAGGTTTTGCTTTTTATAGTTTTAGCCCATACAGATTTAGGATTATTACATCTTCCTACTGGATTGACCATTTTATAAAATATCTTTTTAATGTCTATTAATATGTTTGACTGTTTTGGAGGGGGGCAGTACTGGGGTTTAAACTCAGGCCTTGCTCTTGCTAGGCAGGTGCTCTATCACTTGAACCATGCCCCCCAGCCCTTTTTGCTTCAGTTATTTTTGGATAAAGTCTCCATTTATGCCCAGGACTGGCCTAGACTCTGGTGCTCCTGTTTATACTTCCCTCACAGGTGGGAGCACAGGCTTTTACCACAGTGCCCCACTTTTTATTGGTTGACATGAGGTCTCACTAACAATGGCAATCCATCTGAGCTCCGTCTCCTCAGTAGCCAGGATTTCAGGTGCAAGTCTCCAACCTGGTCCAGTCCTCTTGATTTTTTTTATCTGCTTTCTCCATCAGTCATAGAGTTACCACACCTGTTTCCTTTTGGCATTCACCTGATACTTTTCCATTCAGCTTTTCCATATTCCTCTACTTAAGATAAATCTAGGGGTGGAGATGTAGCCCAGTGAGAGAGCCCTTTGCCTAGAATATGCAGGATCCTGGGTTCCATCCTCAGCACCACAAACAAATAGATAAGTAAATCTATTTTAAGGAGAGTGGTAAGTAAGAGAATCTTAGTTTTTCAATTGAAGTGTTTCGTTCCTTTTTATTTAAGGTAATTACAAATATGTTTGATTTAAATATTGTAACTACTTGTATTTTTCCTTTGTATTCATTTCTTTCTCCCTTTTCTCACTCTGTAAGCATTATTATTATTCAGTTCCCTCCTCTTCTGGCTTATTAGATATGTATTCTCTTATTTTCTTTAGAAACTGCAACACTGATTCTCAGCTCAGGAGACTAGAGTGCAAATGTGCATTTGTGCTGTTTGGCAAACAATGCAGAGACTTTTCAATGCTTTAGCACCATGTGTTCTTCTATTTGTGGTGTTCTTGTTCTCCAGTATTTTCATTTTACATATAAAGTCCACAGGAAAATTTTTTGTGGTACTGGGCATCGAACCCAGGGCTTTGCACATGCTAGACAAGTGCTCCCTCATCCCCAACTATATCCCAGCCCCAAGAGATTTTTTTTCTGTGTGTGTGTGACACTGGGGTTTGAACTCAGGTCCCGCCCATTTTGCTCTGGTTATTTTGGAGATGGGGGCGGGTCTCAAGAACTATTTGCCTGGGCTGGCCTCGAACCATGGTCCTTCAGATCTCAGCTTCCCACGTAGCTAGGATTACAGGAGTGAGCCAGTAGTGCCTGGCAAGAGAGTATTTTAAAGCACTCAATAATATTAACTTAGTTTTATTATATATTTACTCTTCTGGTGCTTTTTTTTTTTTTTTTTCAATACTGGGGTTTGAACTTAAGGTTTTTGCACTCTCTAGGAGGCAAGCCAGGCAAGTACTCTACTGTGTGAGCCCTGCCCCAGCCCCACCTTTTACTGCTTTCTGTTTTTGAATTACCTTGCTTCCATTTGGGTTTGCTTTCCTCCAGGAGAATCCTTTTTAGTACTACTCTTAGTGTGTTCTGCTATGGCAAATTTTCTGTTTAAATAAAAACAGTCCTGGTGGTACTCACCTATAATCCCGGCTACTTGGAAGGCAGAGATAAGAGACTGAGATCTGAGATCTGAGGCCCTATCTGATAAAACAGGCTGCATATTCAGGGCGTACTTGTAATCCCAGCTACTCAGGAGACAAAAGTAGGAGGATCTTGAGTTCAAGGCTGCTTGGGCAAAGTTAGCAGGGGGCACTATCTGAAAAACAACGTACAAACCAAAGGGCTGGGAATGTGACTACAGTGCTTATACTGCTTAGCAAGTATAAGGCCCTGAGTTCAAACCCCAGGACCACAAAAAAAACCCACTCAATCAAAAGTCTTCTATTTATTGCTTTGAGAGCAATTATCTCTTTTCTGCTGGTATTTTAAAGACTTCCTGTTGTTTTTCCACAGTGTTCTCCTACAGTGTGTCTAGGTGTGGTTTTATGCTTACCTGTGGGATTCAAAGGTCTTGAATTTGGGGCTTGATGCCTCGCTAGGTCTGGAAAGCTTTCATCTAGCTCCTCTCCCTATGTTGCTGTGCTCTGTTTCTCTTCTTCTTCTGAGACTCCATTAATATAAACTCTAGAATTCCCTCCCCCCACCTTCTCTACCCTGGCACTCTGCTGAGTTTCCCTATGCATGACTCATGCCTGCCTTTCATTTCACTAGTCCTCCTTTTCTTATGTCTAGTAAGCAGGCTGTTCCCCCTTTTAGTGGATTCTTAAATTTTACAAATTTTATTATTTAATTCAAGTGTCTCCATTTCAAAGTCCCCATTCTGTCACCTCTCAGACATATCAATCACAGTGATTGTGTTAGTTGACTTTTAAGCACTGTGACAAAATATCTGAGAGAAAAAAATTTAAAAGGAGAAAGGACTTACTTTGGCTCATGGTTTCAGAGGTTCCAGTCCATCATGGAGGGGGTGGTATGTTACTGGATGGGTGGTCTCTGAAGACTGTGGTCAAAAAGACTCCTAGGCACTTGTGTCCTGTATGAAAGAATGCAAGCAAGATGCAAAAATGTAAAGTTTGTTGAAGGGGAGGGGAAGTTACCATAGAGAAAGCAGTGGTGGACCCTTGGCCAGGTGGGAGAGAAGAGCATGCTGGTCTTTGTTCTTAGGGCCTTTGTAATTAAAAGGGCAAAGGGCAGGGAAAATCTGGGCATTCTTTGCAGGATGGGCTAGGTGATTGACAGGTTTGATTGACAAGGTCTTGTCACACAACATGGAGTGCTCTGAGCATGCACTTACCCTAGCTCTCAGATATTTTAGTTACATGCATGAGGTGGGATCGATATTCATGTTTTAAGCAAAGGGCTTTTACCTGAGCAGTAATGGAGGGCGGAATTTCCTCAAGGCTTCCTGTCTTGCAGAGAATTTACAATTGAAAAGAAATTTACAACTGTGATGGATAGCTTTGGGCTCACCTAAGGGGTTTAGCATGGAATGTGCTGGGAAAAGCCTCATGGCACCAGCCAAAGTCCCGAAATCTCTCTTGTTAGCCTGCCTTGGGTGGGTGGCTGGGGAGCAGAGCAGCTGCTCTGTGTGTTTTATGTCTTTGCACACAGAGAATGCTTGGCTAACAGGCTTCCTCCTTCCTCTCCATCCCCTTTGAGTCCCCAGTCTTCAGGACCGTGCTGTCCACACTCAGGGCAGGTCCTTCCCCATTGGCTAATCCTCTCTGGAAACACCTCACGGGCGCACCCAGAGGTGTGCCTTAGACATCTCCCAGACACTTCCAAATCCCATCAAGCTGACAATAGGATCAGCCATCACCAGCATCTTAAAGTCTACTGTTGTTCTTAACAACTGTATACAATTATTATTACTGTATGCAACAGAATACAATTATTAGCTAGCAGTAAGCAGACGTCTCACCCACAGCGGTTAAAGATTCTCACATACAGTCTCTTGGATTTTACACATCTTGGATTTTTACATAATTTTAATGCATGGTCACTGACTTTAATGTTCTAACAAACTCTCCAGGAAAGCTGGTCAAAACATTCCGTTAGGCTGAATCCAGCCAGTTTGTGACTTCTCATGACATAAAGTGAAGATGGAACGTGTCATGGCAGCTATTCTTATCTGTGTAGAAAAGATTATCTGTGCTGAGGAGCGGATGGAGACAGGGACAGAGAGGAAGAGGAGACAGACAGGAAGCAATGCTGGTTTCTTAATCCTGAATCTGTGTCCTGGCAAATTCAATGATTCAAGACACCAGACCAGGAGTAAGAGTAAAGCAAGCACAAAGTTTATTGAAAGGACAGCAGAGCTCCCTGATGGGTGGGACTTGGTGAAAGAGCTAAGCCAAAGGATGGCTGAAGTCTAGGAGGTGATATAGGTCTCTAACTGGCTTAGGTCCACCTAGTCTACCTTGAGACTGCATTTGTGTTTGGGTGTCATCTAGTTGACTTCTCGCTGAACCTGACAACCTGGTCACCCTGTTCTTACCGAACTGGAAATTACAGGAAGGTCTGGTCGGCTTGTTCTGACCATTTACGCTTTATTCCTCCTTTTATCTTGGTGCGATGTTTGCTGTGTTACTTTTCTTGAGGAGCCTGCTTCTCGTCTCTTTAGATGTTTGTTTGAAAAGATGTCTCCCTGTCTTCCTTGTCTAGGAAAAAGACAGCTGCATTTTATTATCTCAGAGAGAGGCCTTAGAAGAGCCTGCTCCTCTTAGAAGAGGCTGCTCCTCGTTTTTCCTTAGATGTTTACTTTTCAGCATGCCTTCCTAGCTCCTTATCTAAGACAGTCACTTCTGTTACTTGCTCCCCTCACAGAAGCAACAGGGGACAGACATCAGTGTGTTGTAGGGAGAACCGTAGGGTCCTGGGAAGAGACAAAATGCGGTGCAAAAGTGGCTTCCAGTGTTCCCAAGTGTGAGAAGGCTGTGACATTCGTGTGTTAGACGAGCTTTGTTTGGGCATGAGTTGTAGCACTGTTGCCTGTGAGTTCGATGTTAAGGAATCAGCAGTATACATTAAGAACAGTGCCTTACACAAACGTATACATAAAAGGAAGGTCATGCGTGGACACCTGGCAACAGTTTATGAACAGACCCTTGCAGGGATCTAACCCTCTATTTCCCCTCCCCACCATTCAGCGTTCCTGGCAACTTTGTAGTGCCTAGCAGCCATGAGTAAGTGGACTAATGGATGTGACATTGTGGGTTACATTTGTTTATTATGAGTCTCCTTTGCTAAGAGGTAAGCTTAAAGCAGACAGAGACTTTGTCTTACCTGCTCACTGCTCCGATTAGAGGAGTGGTAGATATTCAGCAAACATTTATGAAGTCAGTGAAACAACAGAAATTTGAGTCTGCACAATGATTTTTAGTTTCAGGTCTGAGCAGGAGTTTGGGAAAGGATTTGGGAAGGAGGTAACTGAGAAAAATATTTATTTCTTTAAGATGAATTGAGTTATGCAGATATCAAGGAGAAGAGTCAGAGACCAGTGCATGCAAAGGTCCTGAGGCAGGAAGCCTTCTTCCTGACATGTTCTGGAAACAGGAGGGGAGGCTAGCATGGCTGGAAAGGAGGGATTGGTGGGAGAGGTAACCAGGAAAGACTTGGTGACTGGTCTATCCCTGGGACTAAAAGCATGCCCCAAACGTAGTACATGTTCAGGAAAAATGTGTTGAATGATCACATGTGACATTGTGATGCTCCTGGGCCATCCTTGGGGACATTGACTCATTCCTTGGGAAAGCAGGGAGTCACCCTGAAAAGACAGATTTGAGTTTCTTCCTACCCAGCAAAACAGGAGGTTTGGAATGAAAATTAGTGTCATCAACTTGTCACAAAACAAAAGGCAGTGGTGACCGTGTTAACGGTGACAGTGCAGTCTGTGATCAGAAGATTTCTAAATTCTTTGTGTTCCGTGTGGAAGAATCCATAGCAGGGCATGTGGGTGTAATTGGAGTTTATTAAGTTAGGGAAGGGAAATGCAGATGGAAGCTGGAAGCATTCTTTTCTCCAGGTGCTTTTAAAACCTACCCTAACCTATGGGAAGGGAGAACCAGGTGATTCCCATTGGATAATCAATGAGTGGGGAGGGGCATGGGTGGTTCCTGGGCCAGGTGAGGCCAGTCTGAGCCATCCCTGAGCCAGGTATGGGCAACCTACACTCACATATAATATTAAGTCATATATTTTTTATGAGTCCCAAACCTTCCCTAACTGTAGCCTGCCTCAACCTCACTACCCCATGCAGTGGGCTTCTGTTCCTCTCACTGCCTAGGGCTGAGGCCTGAGGTCACGAGTGACCTCACAATGACCAGGGTAGTACCTGGCCCACTGCGACAGTCACAATCCACCACCATGCTGACCACCGTGTGCCTGCTGCTCAGCTTTGCTCTGCTGATGGTGGGCTTCCACGAACCTGTCAGCTGTCCCCAGGACCAGCACTGTCAGCGGGCACTACTCTCAGGCAATGATGTCCTCCTTGAGTGCAATTTCTCTGTGGCACAATGGCACTACCTCAGGGAAGGCAGTGCTGACTGGAATGCCAACCTCTCTAGTGTTTCCAATATAAAAGTACTGCCCGAGGGTCACCTTGCCATCAGCAACCCAAAGCCATCTCAGTCAGGCCTCTACCACTGCTGGAACGCCAATGGCACCCAGATGGTCCAGTATGAGGTTGATTTCCAGGATGCCACCATGCTGTATGTCACGCACAAGGGCCTGGGTCAGAAGCCCCTAGAGAACCAGACACTGTCCCAGAGTAGCAGGGAGCTCATCTTTACCCGGTGGGAAGCCTGGCAGGGCTGCAACCGCTGTGGGGAGCCCGGGGAACGCAAACGCCTGGGCTACTGCTACATCAAGAGGCCCCTGGAGGACCCCGTGCCCTGCGGGCTCTACCTGGGGGAGATGAAGGACTGGTTCAGCCGCTTACAGCCTGAGCTGCAGGTGGAAGCCTGCCATGTGCAGTGTGGAGATTACCGTCCATCCAGAGTGCACTATGTCTCCTTTGACAACTTCAGGCTCATGGAGGAGTCAGAATCTCTGTGGCTCACCTGCCCCGTAGCTTCCATCTACAGGTGATGGGGCCCCAGCCTTGCCCTGGCTCCTAGCCAGGCTCTTCTGGCCTGGGAGCCTTTGTGGTGAATCTGTGCAGGGCGGGAGGGACTCTGCAGGCCAGCCTTGCAGGAAGCCCACAGTGCAAGTGGGGGGACAGCTCCTGGGGAGCAGGAGTCTGTGCAGAATGATGGGGCTATGGTGGGGGTGTTCAAGAAAAAAACGGGTCTCTCAGATACCCTTGATCCAGCCAGAAGTATCGGTGAGGTTCTGGAGGAGAGGGTAGGAGCCCCAGAGCTGCCTCTCCTTTGCAGGGGCCCCTGGGAACTTTCCCTTTCATCTCCTTCCAATCTACCTCCTGGCCCTTCCCCGGGCCCTGGGAAAACTCCCTTCTTAGCATCCTCTCCCACTCAGTATTCTCTGCTCCAGGAGCTGTGGCCTCCAAGAATGTCCATTTTACAGATGAGGAAACTGGCTCAAAGGGGTGCAGTCCTTGTTCAGGGTGATCGGTGGTGGGAGGTGGCAGCACAGATCCTAAATCCCATGGTTTTAGCCATGGTCACCTTACCCTCCCCTAGATGACTAAGGCAGCCTCCCTCTTGCATGGGACATTGGTAAGGTGGAGCCTGAGCAGAAACTGGGGTCTAGCTGTAGATTCTGGGGAGTTTGGGCTCACCTCCTCTACTGGGTTTGCCTTCCCTTGTGTAATCCAGCTATGACTTCTACCCGCCTACCCCTAGCTCTTGAGTTTCTCTCTCTCTCCCTGCCTCCCTCTCCTCTTTTAAGTATGAAAGCAACACATTTTCTCAGAGCAACAAAACTCAGAAGCAGACAGAGTGTGAACACCCCTCTCCTGTCTCTGTGGGGACACCTCCATGTCACTCACTGTTCCAGGAGTGTGACGAGGTGGCTCCCACAGCTTCCCAGTTTCTATGCAAAATCCCAGGTCCTTGAGACTGACAAGCATGAAAAGCATCTCAAGGCGTCTTAGGTGTCAAGGAGCCTCACAAGGTGGAAGTTTTGGCAGGGATTTATTTTAGTGGAGCAGGACACAGTGTGGATGAGGTGATGGGGAGAGAAAGAACAGGAAATGGGAGCAAAGACTGAACATGGTGGCTCAGTACCTGTGGTCTTAGAGTTTCCTAGGGTGGGAGAATCCATGATGTGAGAGGTCTAGCAACCCTAATCATTGGTTCTGAGAGCCCAAGATGGGTACTGTTTATTATTGTGAAATACGGAGATGTTACCTAGACCCACCCAAAACAGGGACAATAGGTGAGCTTTAGGTCTTCCTTCTGCCAGACAAGCCTTTTCTTCTACCCATCCAAGGATCCTTGCAGCTTCTTAACATCTCATAGAGGAAAGCAGAATTAGGTAGCTCCTCTTTGTCTCCCAGTTTCTGTAACTTTAGCATCTACAAGGAGATTGGAGGAGGCCAGCTGCTCTGTTTCTCCTTGTTCAAATGTCAGAGTCTGGCTCTTTAAATATTGATTAAAATATAATTTTCCTGTGTCCTCATCTACCTATCTACTCTGCCTTATCACCACAGAAGGAGTTCCCCAGTGCAAGTCAGAAGGAATACAAGAATAGAGGGAGGTCAGAGTGTTTCTTTCTAAGGACTGGAGAGGAGGGCATTTCTTGTGAGGTTTTAGTCTTGGGCTCTGAATTCATCCAGGCTTGGATTTCCAACTCCAGCGGTATGACTTTGGAACTGTGGCTTCTCTCTGGTCCTCAGTTTTCTCATCCATAGAAAGGGGTTGTTACGGTTTGGCTGCGTAGTGTCCCCCAAACAGGCTCGTGGGTTGAAGATTTGGCTGCCAGCTAGTGGGCTTTGGGGAAGCTATTGGGTCCTGAGGGTTCTGATCCAGTCAGTGGATTGATGCATGACAGATTCACAATTAGGTGGGGACTCCCAATGGAGAGGTGGTGGAAGTTTTCAGAGGTGGTGGATAGCTGGAAGAGGTGGTGGATAGCTGGAAGAAGTGGGTCACTGGGAGCATGTTCTTGGGGGATGGGGGGTGTATCTTATTCCTCTCTGTCTCTCTTTGCTTCCTGGCTGCCGTGAGGACAGCATCTTGTCCCTACCAGGGCCTTCCACCATGATGCTCTGCCTCCTGGAGGCCTAGAAACAAAAGGCCATGACTGCAGCCCCTGAAACCATGAGCCAGAATAAACCAATCCTTCCTTAAGTTGTTTTCTCAGGCACAGCGAGGAGAGAAACTGAGCAACACTGAAAATTGTTACGAGGAGGAGTGAGCTCATGGTGTCACTTTACCTGAACAAGATGGCTCAGAAAATTTGGAACTAGTTTGTGGGAGGAGTTCAGAAAAATTTGGAAAAGTGACCTAGAAAAAGCCTAAAATGCTAGAAAAGAACTTAATGGGGAGTTCTGGTTTGAGCTCAGAAGACCAGAAACGTGGACAGTGATGGCCAGGCTCAATGAGGTCATGCACTCTTTCACAAACTGTAGTAGAGGCTGTGCATGTGCTACATCCTGGTGAAGAACTGCCTACAATTTGGCAGTTCCCTAAGGCTTTGTGTGAGGCTGAGTTCACAGGTGATGACTTGTTGATCTGGTGGAGGAAATGTCAAGGCAGCCCAGCGTTCAGGCTGTGGCATGGGCACTGGCATCTGCCTTTGGAGGGGTTTTCAGAGGGAATTGGGAGCTAACAGCTGAGTGGGAATCTTGTAGTTGTGAAAATCCAGATTCTTATGCCCCATGTGGATGCATCCAGGCAGGGTAGGTAGACATAGCAAAGGTGATAATAAATGTTTGTTAAAGATTAGGGGGAAAAGTTACAGAAGGCCAGTATGGGCCAAGTCTGAGGCAGAAGCAGAGAGAGAGCCCCTCCTATATCCAGGTGCTTTTAAATCCTGCGCTAACCTGTGGGAGGGGAAAAACCTGGGTGGTTCTTGAACACCAATAACTGATGAGTGGGGAGGATGGTGGTTTGGGCTGTCCCCAAGATAGGGTGGGAATAATCTGCACATATTTGCAATTGAAAGGAGCCTTGGCAGCTATTAAAAAGTTTTGCAACTGAGAGAGACATTTAGAGAGTGCGAAAAAATGTTCAATCTAAAATATAGTATTAAGTCATAAGAGTCCCAGACTCTTCCTATCTTAACCGACCTCAGAAAGACCTGGAAACCTTACAGTTTGGTCTGAAAAGCCTACGTGGAGTTGGGATTATGGATGGCCTGGTTTCTAAAGAGATTAGTTCCACTTAAAAGAAGCCAAGTACTTTGCATTAGGACTGGTAGGAAAGCTGCTTTAAGGTTATCTCAGAAATTGGCCAGGCCCCACTCATCCAAGGCTTCACGGTGTAAAAGTGTAAATTCATTTGAAAGACTTGCCCTTGAGAGAAGTGCCTGTCACTCACAGAACTGCCAAGGACAGTGTTTTTCCAGGATTTATTTCACCATGCTCAGCCATCTGGGCACTCAGAGGGCACCACAGCCATGGTCCAAGAAGGCTCTGCTTTTGCTGGTGGCAGACTTGCTGTCGACCATATGAGGCTGATTTTGCAGACATGAAGAATGCAAGGGTTGCAGGGGCATGGAGGCTTCACCCAGATCTCAAAGGAAGGCCATGGGGCAAGGGAGTGTGTGGCAGGGTTGGGATCCCTGCAGGCAGTTTGAGGGTGATGCATGAAGCTATGAGAGACACCAGGATTGGGGAATGTCTGCTGAAGAAAGCCACAGGCAGCGTAGAGGGAGGCTGTGTGGGGGCCGCCTGAGGCCTTGGAGCTCACATCACACCTCCATCTGCTCCACATGCCGGACAGGGTTTAATGTTTGCCTTGCTGGGTTTTGGTCTTGCTTTTGGTCCCTCCATTCTTAGCCCCCATTCCTCCCTTTTGGAATGGAAATGTTTTCTCTGTGGCCATTGTGACTTGGAAGTACATGACTCATCTTTATATTTTTACAGTAACTCACAGCTAAGAGTTTGCTTTGAGTCTCTGGAACTTTTTTTTCTTTCTTTCTTTCTTTTTTTTTTTTTTTGCTGCACTGGGGTTTGAATTCATGGCCTCATGCTTGCTAGGCAGGTGCTCTAACACTTGAGCCAGGCTCTCAGGCCAGGACTTGAACTTTGAGCAAAAGTTGAACTATGGGGACTCTTGGAGATGGATGAAATGTACTTACGGAAAGAACCTTTGGGGGACAGGGCAATGTCATGGTTTGGACATGAATTGTCCCCCCAAAAGCTCATGTATTGGGGGCTTTGTTGCCACCATATGGACATTTGGGAAATGACTGGATCCTGAGGGACTGATTTCATCAATGGACTTATCCCTTGATGGATTTGAACCTGGAGTTTTGGATCCAAGGCCCAAACTCCTGAGATTCCATATGCCAGGTCTGGCTGCCTGCCCTTAAATGCCAAGTAAAGAGATGTGGTGAAAGCAGAGAAAGGAGGTTTACTACACGGCTCAAGACATGCCGTGGGAAGAGGCAGAGCGAGCACTCAGCTCATCCTCAGCCATCTTTGGGGTGTAGACATGAGCTATAGGTTTAAGTAGACAAAGAACTGGAGGTAGGGGACAAAGGTGTGCATAAACAGTTCAGTCCGAGGTGTGTTCTGGTCGGACATTATCTCAGTCCTTGTTCTGGGGGAGGTTCCCGAGTTGTAATCCAGAGTCATTGTCACCTGGCAGGTGCTCTCCTATTGGGGGGTGGTTTCTGTCCCTTGTCATGACATCACTCCTGTCCTTCCTTGATTCCAAGGTGGCTGCAAACAGAAAGGCTCAGAGCAAAGATAGATACAAAATGGAGGAGAGATGCCATGCTTTTCTGTTGCTTTTAGTTAATTCGTGGACCCAAGAAGGAGTCCGTGCCTTTCAGGTGGAGTCATTTGAGCACTTCACACAGATTCACAACCCGATGTCATAGGAAGGTGGTGCCTAGGAGGTGGGGTCTGGTTGGAGGAAGTGGGTCACTGGGGTGTATCCTGGAAAGATAGTGCTTGTCCCCATCCCCTTCCTGTCTTTTCTGCTTCCTGGCCGCCATGAGGTAAGAAGTTTCCTCTGTCATGTCCTCCCATCACCCTGATGCTCTGCCTCACCTCAGGCCCACCTGGACTGAAACCTGTGAAACCATGACCCAAAATACATCCTTCTCCCCCTTAAGCTGTTGCCTTCGGTATTTTGTTACAGCAATGAGAAAGCCATTGAGAACAGGGCTCATAGTGATTTCTCAGGGCTGCCAGCACAAAGTACCACAAACTGGGTGGCTTCAAATAACAGAAGGGCATTCCTTCACCATTTTGGGGACTGTGAATAGGGCTCTGCTCCTCCTTGGTGAAGGACTAAGTAGACTCCTCCCCTGACTTTTCCTAGCTTCTGGTAAAGCCAGAGGTCCTTGGTCTTCCTTGGCTTATAGCTATATCACCCAATCCCTGCCTCTGTTGTCACCACATGGCTTCTCCTTGTGTGTATGTATCTCTGTGTCTTGGCTCCTTTAGTTAGTCATGTTGGATCTAGATCCCACCCTGTTCCAATATGACCTTGTCTTAACCTAATTACATCAGCAATAACCCGATTTCCAAATAAGATTCCATTCTGAGATTCTGGAAAGGATGTGAACGGGGCACTAACAGCTTAGGACAGAGGTCTTGCTGGCCCAGGCCTCAAGGGCTATTGTGAAGCTTGAGGGCTAAGGGCCAGGCACCAGTGGCTCGTGCCTGTAGTCTCAGCTACTCAGAAGGCAGAGATTGGAAGGATTGTCAGTTGAGGCCAGCCTGGGCAAACAGTTCATGAGATCTTCTCTTGAAAACACCCCACACACGAAGAAAAAGGTTGGTACAGTGGTTCAAGCGGTAGAGCGCCTGCCTAACACGTGTGAGGCCCTGAGTTCAAACTCCAGTGCTGCCAAAAAAAAAAAAAAAAAAAAAGGAGGGCTAAGGATGGTTGGTCACTTACACAGTATCGTTGGACAGATAGCAGTAGCTCCCTGGAGGCGTTGGGTAGCGTGAGGGTCCCACCATCCCTTGGCCGCGCTGGGTGTGGTGTGGCCCATTTACTCACTGACACGCGTACATCGCTCATTTATGTCAAACAGGACGGACAAACGGGACCAGATCTCCTGCCTCCTGGAGTGACAGCGGTATTTTATTTCAGAATAAGTAAGAGACACAGTATTTTATTTTATCATTAATAGTACAAGGAAGTAGCATTGTGAAGATTTCATAGATACGTACAGTGTACTTTAAACAAATTTACAGCCCCATATTCCCCACTGAAAACGCTTACCTTTCTAGTTCTTGGTGGGTTTACTGTGGGTGGGTTTACCATATACATGTGTAATAAACATCTACCCGCTTCACCTCCCAGTTCCCTCTCTGATCCCCTTCCCATTTATTCCACCCTCCCTTTTACATTCATGTCCCATTTTCACGATTACCAGCACCATTGTAGGTCTAGATTTCACATACGAGCAAAAACATGCGATATTTGGCTTTTTGAGCTTGGCTTATTTCACTCAAAATGATTATCTCCACTTCCATCCATTTTCTTGCAAACAACATAATTTTGTTATTTTTATGGCTGAGCTAACACTGCATTGTGTGTATATATGTGTCAGATTTTCTTTATCCGTTCACTATTTGTTGGGCACCGAGGCTGCTTCCACAGCTTGGCAATTGTACATAGTGGTGTGAAGGACATGCATGTGCAGGTGTCTCTCTTGTACACTGATTTAAACTCCTTCAGATGTGCCCACGCATGGTATGGCAGTCATAAGGCAGGTCTGTTTTTAACTTCTTGATGAACCTTTATGATTTCCATAGAGGCTGCACTAGTGTACATTCCACTAGCAGTGCGTGAGGTTCCTTTTCCCCTGCATCCTCACCAGCAGTTATAGTTGTGTGTCTTCTTGGTGGTGGCCATTCTCACTGGGGAAGGATGGACTCTCAATGTTGTGTTGATTCACATTTCCTTTATGGCCAAGGGTGCTGACCGTTTCTTTAATTTTATCATTTTTACATTTGCTTACATGCTGTATACGTTATTTGGGCCACCCCCATCCAACTTCTAGGCAGAACCTGTTCCACCCTCTTGTTCTCTGATTTTGTTAAAGAGAAAACACGGGAGAAAACAAGAAAGACATAGCGTTTTTGCTAGTTTGAGATAAAGATAGCTACACAGAGGGATTCCTAGCATTGCTTCCATGCACTTGTGTATTACAACCTACATCCTGCACGTTTCTTCATGTGTTTATTAGCCATTTGTACCTCTTCTGAGAAGTATTTAATTCATTTGTCCATTCATTAATTGAATTATTTTTTCTTTTGCTGTTTAACTTTTTGAGCTCTTTGTATTATCTAGAGATTAATCCTTTATCAGATGAATAACTGGCAAAGATTTTCTTACATTCTCTGCGTTCTTGATTCTGGTAATAGTTTCCTTTGATGTTCAGAAACTTTTTAGTTTCATGCAATCCCATTTGTCAATTCTTGCTCTTACTTCCTGGGTGATTGGAGTCCTATTTAGGAAATGATTGTCTATGCCTATGTCTTCAAGAGTTTTCCCTATGTTTCTTGTAACAGTTTAAAAGTTTCAGGTCTTACATTAAGCGCTTTATTCATCCATCTTGAATTGATTTTATTTATTTATTTATTTATTCATTTTTTGGTACTGGGGCTTGAACTCAGGGCTTCACCTCGAGCCACTCTACCAGCCCTATTTTTTGTGTTAGAGTCTCATGAACTATTTGTCCTGGCTGGCTTTGAACCATGAACCTCCTGATCTCTGCCTCCTAAGTAGCTAGGATTACAGGTGTGAGCCACTGGAGCCCAGCTTGAATTTATTTTTATACAGGGTGGGAGACAGGGATCTAGTTTAAGTTTTTTTTTCTTTTTTTACATACAGATAACCAGTTTTTCCAGCAACATTTGTTGAAGAGGCTTTCTCCAATGTATGTTTTTGACTTCTTTGTCAAAAATTAGCTGGCTGTAGCTGTGTGGATTTATTTCTGGGTTTTCTATTCTGTTCCATTGTTTTCCTGTCTGTTTTTGTACCAGCACTGTGCTGCTTTTGCTCTGCAGTATATAGTTTGAAGTTGGGTATTATGACACCTCCAGCATTGCTCTTTTTGCTCAAGATTGCTTTGGCTAGTTGTGATGTTTTGTTTCCATATGAATTTTAGAGTTGATTTTGACATTGGGGTTGCATTGAATTAATAGATTGCATTCAGTAGTGTAGCCATTTTTATCGTATTCTGCCTATCCATGAACATGGAAGGTCTTTCTTCAAGGTTTGATAGCTTTCATTATGAAGGCCTTTCACCTCTTTAGTGTAGTTTATTCTTAGGCTTTTTTTTTTTTTTTTTTTTTTGAGGCTACTGTGAATGGGGTAAATTTCCTGATTTCTTTCTCCGTCTGTTTGTTATTGATATATAGAAAAGCTACTGATTTTGTTTATTAATTTTGTATCTTACTACTTTTTCAAAAGTACTTTTTAGATCTAAGAGGTTTTTTTTTGGCGGAGTCTTTAGGGTCTTTTAAGTATAGAATCATATAGTCTGCAAATAGGGGTAACTTGGCTTCTTTTCCAATTTGAGCCCCTTTTATTTCTTTCTCCTGCCTTATTGATCTGGTTAAGAGTTTTCTAGTACTATATTGAATAAAAGTGGGAAGAGTGGGCACCTTTATCTCATTCCTGATCTTAGACTAAATGGTTTCAATTTTCCCACTGAGTATGAATAGGCTGGCTACAGGATGAGGTACATTCCTTCTATTCCTAGTTTCTTCAGAGCTTTTATCATGAAGGAATGCTGAATTTTGGCTTTTTCTGCATCTACTGAGATGCTCATGTGATATTTTGTCCTTGATTCTGTTTATGTGTGACATGCAGCATTTTAGATAGTGACAAGGGATAATGAGAGTGAAGGAGATGAAAATTATAAGGAGAGGTCAGCGAAGGCCTCCCTGAGAAGGGGCCGTTTCAGCCAGGACCAAAGGGGATGAAGGAGCCCTGTGCACTGAGGAACAGTGTTCCAAGCCGGGGGAACAGCCAGGCCAGAGGCCCTGAGGCAGGACTGTGCCCAGCATGGCAGAGGAACGTCTAAGGCCTCAGTATGGCTGGGTGGAGTGAGGACAAGGAGTTGGAGGAAATGAGGCCAGGCAGTGAAGGGGTGCGCCATCACTCCTGTAGCATTCTTGCTAATTTCTCCAAAAGATCCATGAGATAGGTGTGATCCTACTTGTTTTCAGATGAGAAAATGGGTGCTCCCAGACTGGAGGTCTGGGCCTAGGCAGCCCAGCCTGTCAGGGTGGAGCTCTGAGAGCTCCCAACTGCCCTGTGCCCTCCGCTCCTGCACAGTGCTCCATGAAGGGAGCTGTGTTTGCTGTCCCCAGGGAAGAGAGGCCACTTTCCTTCTGCTGTCTGTCTCCCTTTTTCCCCGAGGCTGTACAGTTGACCTTGTCCTCCTTGCAGGCCTGTCAACTGGGAAGCCAACAGCATCCCTCTGACTTGGCACGACCAGCTCTCTGGCCAGGACTTCAGCTACTTCCTGGACCAGTCCACCGGTGGCAAGCAGCTGAAGATTTTCTGGCAGGCCACTTACAAGTGCTTTGTGGAGCAGGAGCTCATGGTGCAATTCAACCCCGAGGCCCGTCCAGAAATGCTGGAGGCTCAGAGGATGGCGATGCTGGAAGCTCAGGGGGCAGGAGAGGTCACTGCCCGGTCCGGGAAAGCAGACTCCGTTCTCAAACAGTTGATGCTGATGTTGCTGGTGGTCACCACGCTGGCCCTTGTGGGGCTGCTGTTCAAAGTCCTCTGCCCTGCCCAGGGCAAAAGAAGCAACCAGATTCTGCTGGTAAAATAAAGGGAGCCCTCTGCACCCCAGGGGACTTTGGGCCTCCTGAGCCACTGGCCTCTTGTTCTTTTATTGCCACCACTGTTCTGTCTATAGCTCCTGCCCCGTGCTGGCCCTGTATCACCCTTTGATGTGTGAGTGAAAACAGACCTGGGACAAAACTAAGGGTGACTGAGTGCCTCCCGTTCCAGGTCCTGCTTTGCTAAGGTGATGGTAATCCCAGTGCTCAGATGAGGACTGAGTAGGACTACTTATCTAGTCACTGGGGTGTGAGTGAGTGTGTGTGTGTGTGTGTGTGTGTGTGTGTGTGTGTGAATCCACTTCAAACTCACCTCAAGCCTGGGATACCCCAGAGGAAGGGAGGAAGAGAGGGAGGGAGGGAGGCAGGCAGGCAGGGAGGCTGTTCTCAGGGTAGAACTCTGGTGTGGTCCATTTTAACCTCTTCATTCAATGCATTCTCCCAAAAGCAAGATGGGCAACCCCCAGTTATCTCAGGTCTGCCCTTGGGCCTTTCTGCCTCTCCCAGTTTTTTGTCCTTTGCCCCAGCCTCCCCTAATTGTGCTAGGCCTTGGGCCCAGTCATAACTCCCCAAGTCTAAAGCCTAGTTCAGCTGATTCACAGGAATTATCAGGTCTGGCAGTTTTTGTTTTTAGAAATTATATATACTGTTTAGCAGACTATAAGAGTGAAATGAAATATTAATGCCTTTTAAAATTCATTGTCCTAAAACTCTACTGTGAAGCAATAACAGGATGGGTATGAAACCCTTCCAGAGCAAAACTTGGGCCCTGGAGGACAGGACAGGGTTTGCCCCTATGTACCAGACACTTAGGGCTTCTTATGGTGCCCAGAGACTCAAAGATTCCTGCAGAATGAGGGAATGTTCCCCCAAAATTGATGGGAGTTCATGCAATAATAGTGAACACTTTTGTGTCTCCTGGTGTGGCCAAAACTCATTCCTTTCATAAACACTGTGTTCTCACAACCTCCCAGGAGGCTGCTGTTCCTATTAGCCTTGTTTTGTGGGCAAGAACATCAAGACTCAGACAGCACAAGCAACCTGCTTGAGGTCACACAGCAAGCCTGGTGAAAAAGAGATCTCAGCCCCCTCTGACTCCCAGGAACCCCCCTCCCTGTGTTCTGCACCCACAGTAGCCCACACTGGAGGTTCAGCTGTGACAACCAAGCCCAGGTCCGTGGCCACTTACAGCACTGAAAGTCCCATGACCACAGACAGACTGTCAGCACTCACTGTGGCCTGAGGTGACCCCAGTAACTTCCCTCCTCATGGTGTCCACACCTGTGCGTGAGCCCCTCTCCTGTGACCTTGCTCAGAGCCAGCAGCATCTGACCACACTCCCTTGATGAACTTCTGTAAGACCGGGCAGATTAGAGCTGAGGTCTTGCTGGCTTGCTGACAGAGCAGCTGCTATGGGAAGTGTCTCCCAAAGGCCCGTGAGAAAGGCTTCACATCCATCCCATGGTGCCATTGGAGGTGGTGGAATCTTTAGAAGGTGGGGCCCAGAAGAAGGAAGTTAGGTCATTGGGAACGTGACCTGGAAGGGACCTGACCCTTTCTGCCCCTCTTTGCTTTCTATCTGCTATGGTGTGAGCCGCCTCTTTTGCCACGTACCCCCACCACAATGGGCTGCCTTGCCACAGGCCCCAAAGCAACTAGGCAAACCAACCATGGTTTCTGAAACTGTGAGCCCAAGAAAACCTTTTTCCCTACCAGATAATCATATCTCAGGTAGTTTGTTACAGTAGCGAAAAACTGACTAACACAGCAGTCATGTTGAGTAAGCCCTTGTGGCAAGTAGCTGTGGGCTGTAGAACTGCAAGTGACCCCTGGGACCTGAAGGTGGCTTCCAGTTGGCAACCAGCAAATAGCCTGGGTCCTCAGTCATACAGCCAGAAGGAAATGAAGGCAACTAACAACCTGAGTGAGCCTGAATGCCGTTATGGCTTGGATATCAAGTGGTCCCCCCAGAAGCTCATGTGCTAAAGACTTGCTCCTCAGCTGGTGGTGCTTCTGAGAGGTGATTGGATGGCTGTGACATCACCAGTGGATCAATCTATCGATGACTTCATAGCTGATTGGGCTATGAGGAGGTGGGGCGTGGCTGGAAGAAGTAGGTCTTGGGGGGTGACATTTAAGAGCATACCTTGTCCCCAACTCTTTCTCTTTCCCTCTCTCTCTCTCCTTCCTGGCTGCCATGAACTCTGCTCCACCATCCCCTTTCCACCGTGATGCTCTGTGTTCCCCAAAGCCCAGAAGCAACAGAACAAGGTGACCAAGGGCTGAAACCTCAAACAATGAACGAAAATAAGCCTTTCCTCTGCTAGTGAGCCTTTTCCTTTTTGTTATTTTTGAGATAACTTCTTAGTATGTAGCTCAGGCTCACCTCAAACTCACTGTATAGCTCAAGCTGTCCTTGAACCCACAAGCCTCCTACCTCAGCCTTCCAAGGTATTACAGGTGGGTGCCACCACATCAGTCCCTGGGTTGACTTTCTGAGGTATTTTGTCACAGCGATGGACAGGTGACTAACGAAAACAGATTCTTCTGCAGCCGAGCCTGCAGATGAAAATGCAGCCCTGTCAATGTCTTGCTGCATCCCCGTGAGGCATGAAGGTGGCCCAGCTGAGCCACATTCAGACTCCTGACGCACAGAAACTGTGAGACCTTAACTTTGTTTTAGTAACAGACAAGTGTTAGGCCCACCATATCCCCCAGTCCACCTGAGTCCCCCAGCTTTGGCAGTCACAGATGGATCCTGTGTGCTGGGGGACTTCTTACCTCACTGCACTGGGCCACACGCACAGGAGATGGGGGCCAGGCAGCTGATGTCCTCAGGAACCAGCCTACACCTCGAGGGATGGGAAATGGAGGAAGAACATCCAGCTTCCTCACTCCTGGATGGCAAAACTCTGAGGCACCTTGTCACATTCTCTCAGAACAGATTCATGGGATTATGGGGCTTGGAGTGAACATTGTTGGGATGGGGCGTTATTTGACCTATGCCAAAACAGTGCCAGGCAGAGGCTGCACACAGAGGGGGTCTGGAATGGGGGTCTCCTTGCTGATTAGGCAGGGAGATGGCCATGGTGGAAGAGGACTTCAAGCAGGCTGCCAGGACCCGGATGCTATGGGACCCTGTGGGCCAGGGCCACGCTTTATTAGAAATGACACAGGAGCCATGACAAGGGTTTGACCAGTAAAGGGATGCAACCTGACATTCGTGTAAGGTGTGATTCTGACAAGGTGGAGTCATTACAGGTAAGGCTGGGCAGGAAGTAGCAGCCACCTTGCAGGTGACTGGCTGGACAATGAGAAACTTTTGTCACCGAGCAGAAGGGCTAAGGCCTGCTCTTGCCGCCTTCTGTCTCAGAGAGAGCACAGCGTAAGACACAGTGTGTATCTAACCCAGTTTTTGTCTGTCCGTTTGAGATGGGGTCTGGCTGTGGTACGTGGCTGGGACATCAAACTCCCGAGCTCAAGTGCCTCAGCCTCCTGGGACTCCAGGGGCCCTGCTGCACGGCTGATTCCACTTTTAACGGTCTTATACCAGGGCCTCACACACGCGGTGAGCGCTCTACCACTGAGCTACATCCCCAGCCCTTGGTCTTCTTGAGCCGGGGTCTCAGTGTGTAGCCCTGGCTGGCCTCTAACTCTCCATCCTCCTGCCTCAGCCTTCCCAGGGCTGGGATTACAGGTGTATCCCACCATGCCCACCTGAAAACAAATTTTTTTTGGCAGTACTGGGATTTGAACTCAGGGTTCTCGCTTGTTAGGAAGGAGTTCTTCCATATGAGCCACACCTCCAGCCCCTCAGAATGACTAAAAAAAGCACTGCTACTAAGTGCAATTCCAGTAAAGTGTCCCTGCCACTCTTCTGCAGTTTCACTTTCTATGGTTTCAATTGTGGTCTGCAAACATTAAATGGAAAATTCCAGAAATAAATTTTTGATGACTTTTATTACAATATAATTATAATTGTTCTTTGTTACTCTTAGTTTATTGATGTTGATTTCTTACTATGCCCAATTTATAAGTTAAACTTTACCAAAGGTATGTACGAATAGGAAAAAAACTATATGGGGTTCGTGGCTGGGTGCAGTGGCTTGTGCCTGTAATCCCAGGTACTCAAGAGGCAGAGATTGGGAGAATTGTTCAAGGCCAATCTGGCCAAAAAGTTAGGGAGTCCCCCATCTCAACAAAAGCAGGCTGTGGTGGTGCAGATCTATAATTCCAGCGGTGTAGGAGGTGTAAATAGGTGGATTGAGGTTGGCTATGAGCAAAACAAACAAAAAACCCACAAGACCCAATCCAAATCCAAAAAAAAAAAAAAACTAAATGCAAATAAAGGGTCTGGGGCATGGTTCAAGTGGTAGAGCAGCTGTCTAGCAGATCAAGGCCCTGAGTTCAAACCCCAGTACTAAAAAAAGAGGAGTTTGGGAAAATGTAGCTCCTTGAAAAAAATAATTTAAAAGGAAGACCTGGGGTTGAGTACAATCGTGCTTTCAGTTGTCCCCTGGGGTCTTAGAATGCATCTCCTGCAGATAAGGGGCCACTGTACTTGCCTTCTGTCCACCTCTGTAATCTTCTGGAGAAAGAAAGGGGAAGGAGGGGAAGTATCTCTTTTTCCTGAAGTTGCAGAAATGCAGACAAATCTACCACTAGCCTCTCTGTCACCTTAGTGTAATCTTCACAAGACTGTCTGCACAGGGACATAGCTTGGTGAATAGTGTGGAGAGGGCCTCTGCTTGCCCCTTGGCTGGACACATCACACAGTGCTCAAACTTTACAACTCCATGTGGCAATCCTGAGGACAGACACTTTCTGCATCATGACCTGGTCCTGGAAATCTGTACGACATCCTGTGACAGTCAGTATAGGGTAGGTCCTGCTGCAGTAATAAGTAAAACCTATAATAAACTGCAACCTTTTTTTCCGACTCAAACCATAGTCAGATGTAGCTCAGGTGGCCCTCTTCTGCTTAAGTCAG